GCAACAAGTGTTTGTATGTAACAACAAAAGCACAAGCAACAAATGCAAAAATAAGTGGGATGACATAAAAATTAAAAGGTTCTACACAACATGAACAACAAAATGAAAAGGCAACATATAGAATAAAAAAATCTGCAAACCATATCTGGTAAGGGGTTAATAGCCAAAATATATAAAAAACTCATACACTTGAATACAAAAACAAACAACCCAACTAAAAATTGGGCAGAGGAACTAAACAAGCATTTTTCCAAGGAAAACAAACAAATGGCCAGCGGGTACATGAAAAGATGCTCAACATCACTAATCATCAGACAAATGCAAATCAAAACCACAATGGGATATCACCTCATGCCTGTTAGGATGGCTCTCACCAAAAAGACAAGAGATAATAAACATTAGCAAGGAGTGCAGAAAAGGGAACCCTTGTGTCCTGTTGGTAGGAAAGAAAATTGGTGCAACCATTATAGAAAACAGTATGGGGTCCTCAAAAAATGAAAAATAAACCTAGTAGGAACAAGTATAAAAAACACATGGATAAAAACTAGGGGCGGGTGGAAATGGGCAGGAGGAGGGGAGGGCTGGGTGAGTGGGCTGGGATGGGAGTGAAAAATAGAAAATTGTACTGCAACAATTAAATTTAAAAAAAAAAAAATAAACCTAGCGTATGATCCAGGATTTCCACTCCTGGCTTTACAACCAACGGACATGAAAAGAGTCTTTTTTTTCCCCCCTGCTATTCCTCCCCGTCTCCACTGAAAACCCTCCATGTGATGTCCATTTCTCTGATTCTGTTCCTATTCTAGTTGTTTGCTTAGCTTTGTTTTTGTTGGTTTTTTTTTTTTTTGGTTCATTTGTTGATAGTTGTGAGTTTGTTGTCATTTAACTGTTCATAGTTTTTTATCTTCTTCAACTTCCTAGATAAATCCCTTTAACATTTCATATAAATAAGCACTTGGTGATGATAAACTCCTTTAACTTGACCTTATCTGGGAAGCACTTTATCTGCCCTCCAATTCTAATGACAGCTTTGCTGGATAGAGTAATCTGGGATGTAGGTCCTTGCCTTTCATGACTTGGAATACTTCTTTCCAGCCCCTTCTTGTCTGCAAGGTTTCTTTTGAGAAATCAGCTGATAGTCTTATGGGCACTCCTTTGTAGGTAACTGTCTCCTTTCCTCTTGCTGCTTTTAAAATTCTCTCCTTATCTTTAATCTTGAGTAATGTAATGATGTGCCTTGGTGTATTCCTCTTTGGGTCCAACTTCTTTGGGAGAAGTTGGGAGAAGCTCAATTTTTGGGCTTCCTGGACTTCCTGGAAGTCTATTTCCTTCACCAGATTGGGGAAGTTTTACTTCATTATATGTTCAAGTAAGTTTTCAATTTCTTGCTTTTGTTCTTCTCCTTCTGGTACCCCTATAATTCAGATATTGGAACATTTAAAGTTGCCCCAGAGGTTCCTCAGTCTCTCCTTTTTTTGAATTCTTGTTTCTTCATTCTGTTCTGGTTGGATGTTTATTTCTTCCTTTTGTTTCAAATTGTTGATTTGATCCTGGTTTCCTTCCTGCAACTGTTGGTTCCCTGAATATTTTGCTTTATTTCATTTTGGGTATCTTTCATTTGTACTTTCATTTTCAACCAAGCTCAATCAGTTCTGTGAACATTTTGATTACCAGGGCTTTAAATTCTCTATCAGATAAGTTGGCTATCTCCTCGTGGCTTAGCTCTCTTTCTAGAGTTTAGATCTGTTCATTTGGGCCCTATTTCTCTGTCTCAGTGCACCTGTTAAGTTGTAAGGAGGCGTGGCCTTAGGTATTCACCAGGGCCGGGCAACCCTCCTTGCTGCGCTGCAACACTACCTATGGGGGAGGGGCCAGAGAGGAAACAATGCAGCTCACCTGCTCGGCTCTAGTCCCACTTTCCAATGAACTCTAGTGTGAGATTGGGAGTTTCTCCCACCGTGGCAACCCCTGCTGTAGTCCATAGTCAGCTCTGAGTCTCAGTTTCTCATTCAGTAAGCCCCGCCTGCACAGTCTGCCACCTCACTGCAGCCAGCCCCATCCCCACCAAAAACAGAATCTTGAAGGAAGAGTTGCACTCGCATGTTTATTGCAGCATCATTCACTGTAGCCAAGATGTGGAAACAAACTGTCTGTCAATGGATGAATGAACACACACACACACACACACACACACACACACACACACACACACAATAGTTTTCAGCCGTAAGAAAATCCTGTTGAGACAATATGAATGGACTTTGAGAGTATTATGGTAAGTGAAATAACTCTGGCAGAGAAAGACAGTATTGTATGATCTCATTTACATGTGAATCTAAAAAAATCTGAACTCATAGAAACAGAATAGAGTGGTGGCTACCTGGGTCTGAGGGGTGGGGGAATTGAGATATTGATCAGAGTAAAACTTCCAGTTAAAAGACAAGTGGCTTCTGGAGATATAATTTACAAGATAATAGTTAATGATACTATACTATACTTGAAAGTTGCTAAAAGAGTAGATCTTAACATTCTCACCAAAAAAAAAGTGGTAATTAGATGGCATGATGGATAATGCTATAGTAGTAACTGTACTGCGGTGTATGTGTATCAAATCAACACATTGTACACCTTGAACTTAAACAGTGTTATATGTCAATTATATCTCAATAAAGCTGAGAAAAAAAATTTGTACTAAGCAAAATACCCACATTTATCCTTAAGTTTATTTTACAGGATAACTTATCCTGTAAGTTTAAAAATTACAGATAAACAAAAATAATAACCAGTTATAACTCTACCAAACTTGGAGTAACACCCCAATATTTTTTCTATTTAACAAAAAGTGAGATCATACTATACATCTCACATAACTTCCTCTCTTTTAGTCAATAATGTACGAGTTCCATTGAATGGATCTCCTATAGCTTACTTGCTTAATCCTTGTGATGATAAACTTGGCTAGGCTATGATGTCCAGTTGTTTTGTCAAACACCAATTATGGTGTTACTATTAAGATATTTCTTAGATATAATTAACATTTACAATCAGTGGACTTTAAAGTGGAATACCACCAATAGTGTGGGTAGGCCTTACTCAATCAGTTGAGGGCCTTAAGAGCAAAGACAGGTTTCCCAAGAAAAACAAAAATTCTGCCTCTCTGAAGAATGCTCACTAACTACAGTTTTCGTTAAAGAAAAGTGAGGTGCTGCTGTACCAAATACCTAAAAACACACAAGAGGCTTTGCAATTGGGTAATGGGGTAGGGGATGGAAGAATCCTGAGATGCAGGATAGAAAAAGCCTCAGTTGCCTTGAAGAGACAAGGAACATGGATAATAACTGTGTGTTATTGGAAACTAGAGGAAATGTTATTGGAAACTAGAGGAAAAGTGGCAGAGAACTTGGCTGAATTGTTTTCTGTTGGATGGAAAGAAGACGTTGTAAGCAATAAAATTGGTTATTTAGCTGAATAAAGTTCTAAGCAGAGGATGAAGGTTCAGCCTGGTTTCTATTTGCTACTAACACTAAGATGTGAGGAAAGAAACAAATTGAAGAAGGAATTGCTTAAAGAAAAATGAGCCAGACTTGAAGATTTGGAAAATTCTCATCCTAATCATATGGTAAATAATGAGAAAGTATGCTCTACAGAAAACACCAAGGGTGTGTAACTAGAAACTATTTGCTAAAGACTTATGGAAGCAATCAATTATCTCAGCAGAAACCCTGCCAGCTTGGAAGAGGACAGAGATGGAACTAAATGAAGGCAGGCTGGAATGCTATGGGCAAGAAAGGGACTGATAGAGCCATTTAATTCTGAATGTGTCACACAAGAGTATCTTGAGGGCATTTCAGAGGCCAGCAGGGCTGCCACTGCCACCATGGGCCAGGAAAGCAAAGGCCCAGGGTGCAGGTCCAATGATTTTAGGCCATTTCCTTGGCTGTAAGGAAGCAATGCCAGCACTCCAGGGGGCTCCTCAAGACAGCATGGAGCCAATGAGAATTTTCCTCAAGTATTAAAATAAAACAGAATCTGTTGGCCCATTAGGTTTAGACTTGCTTGGGACACAGGCTTTTTTTCCTTTTGATTTAATAAAAATGTCTATCCTCCATCTCTCCCACTTGAAAGCAGGTAACTAGTCTGGTTTGACAGGTTCACAGATGAAAAGGAACTTTGTTCCAGCATGAGTTGTACACCAAGTGTTACCCACAATTTATTTGAATGATCTGAGTTGATGATGTTTAGATGAAATACTGGACTTAGCATTGATGCTGAAATGATTAAGACTGGGGTATGGTAGGGTGGGGTGAATTAATTTTGCATGTGGGTAGGCTATGAAATCTTAGGGGCCACAGAGCAGATTATAATGGGTCTGTTTTCCCCCAAAGATGTTTTGATGTCCTAATCTCCAGTATCTCAAAATATTATTTGGAAACAGTTTTTAGAAGTTAAAATTAGGTCATCAGGGTGGGCCTTAATCCACTATGACTGTGGTATCCTTATTTAAAAAAGTAAACAGACAGAGAGGGATAGATACAAACGAGAGGCACACCCTGTGAAGACAAGAGACAGAGACTGGAGTTACGTTACCATGAGCCAAGGAAAACCTGCTGCTACCAGAAACTAGGAAGCAGCAAGGATTTCCCTACAGGTTTCAGAGGAAACATGGCCAAGCCAACACCTTGATTTTGGACTTGTAGTCTCTAGAGTTGAAACAAATTTATGATGCTATATACCACCCAGTTTGTGGTACTTTATTACAATAACCCCCATTGTTGGACATAAGAGAGCCTCAATTTGGGGCTCCTATAGCTGTAACTTAGCAAATGTGCTATCATTTCCACAGAATTAATCTCTAGGTACAGAGTTACTGAGTCAGAAAACACAACATTCTGAGGGTTTTGACTTATATTGCTAAGTTGCTCTCTACATCAAAGTATTAATTTAAATTATCTCCATTACCGTGGGAACATCCATTCCTTACATTTTGATATAGGCTTTGTTTATGCTATTTTTTAAAAAGAGCAGTTCAGTTGAAAGTTGAAGAGCCCCAGTTATAGTAAGTCCTTATAGTCTAGCACTGTTGCATGGTCCACGAAGCTACAGACAAGACATATCAAAAGCAGTGCTTAGTTCATGCTATTTTTTAAATCACTGTTAATTTCTGATTTTGGGTAATCAAAGTGTCCAAAAAAGATATGCCAGAGCATACTGGGTAGGGCATTATAGATTTATATCCTGGAAAGATTTAGTTGCAATGTTTCTAGATTAGTCTGGTCTCCTAGAAAGTGATCGACTCAGGCAAAGGAAGGAAAACTGGGAACATGATGTATACAAGAGAAGATATGGACAGACCAATCACAGTGGAAATAAATATCAGCTTTATTAACACTCAAAGTGCCATTCATTTATATTCCATAATCCATGTTACTAAGAGTAACCCTCTGAACCACAATCTTTCAAATAAAAAAAATGTAAAAAAAAAAAAGCAGTTTTCATTGTGCTAATTATTGCAGGCCTTCATGCACGATAAATCTAAACAAATATGTGTGCCAACAATATACAAATTTCCATATAAACAAAGTCATTGATCACTAACAAAATATAAACATGGTTTCTTTCACATTAGATTTTTAAATGGCTATTTACCAGCAAGAAAAACAAATACATAAAAACTATAAAACTCAGATTTATACATTTTTACAAGTACAACTTTAAATGAACAACACAAAGTCAAAATATAAATGAAACGTGGCACATATCACACTGTATCTGGCTTCTGGGAGGTTTTACTAATCATACTGACTCCTTGCAACATAATAAGCTTAATGACTGACATACAACTTCAACAGTGGACTTTATTCCTAACACAAGTAATTTTACATGGTACCATATATTAAAATCTGAGTTTTCCTTAACTACATATTGTCAGATTGGAAATTTAATTTCCATTTTTTTTTCTGCCAGTTACTTAACATACACAGTACAGTATAAAGACACTCGATGCATGTTTAAACATTTCTAAACCAATTTAGTCAATTTCAGAGAATCACAATATATCAATGTATTGTTTCATAAAGAAGGTCTGACCTTGCCCAGTAAGAAAATAACCCAAAAGTTGAAATCTTTGGGGTAGAATAAAGGAAACATTCAAAAACAGTAGGACCAGCCAAGAGAAACTGGAGATATAAAAACCTTGGCATCTTTTCAAGACAATTTAGTTTCTTACATTTTTTTCATAGCTCTCAGAATTCAAAGGCTATTTTAGTGGAAAGTGAATTTTGCTACTGCTTAACACCTCTTTTTCCTCTTAATTTGTATTTCAGAGAATTCTCAAAGGAAAATTCAACGCTCTTCCTTGCAAGAGTGTTTGATATCTAAGTAAATTTGTATCCAATTTTGGAAATACAAACATATTTTGAATGGTTAAAAACAAAATTTTAAAAATATTTTTGATCAGCCAGCTGAAAATATACTCACATAGTAAATAATCTCTCAGAAAGCTTTTTTATATATTTAATTCTAACTAAGGAATACCCTTATTATATAAAACAAGTTCATAAAAATGTAGAAATAAATGAAAATAAGAAATTACTGGAATACATAAATGTGCCTACAGACAGAAAAAGATATTTCCATATACACATTTCCCTGATACACAGTTACAAGCAAACTTTCAACTAAATGCATTTCAAAATACACATAAAATCAGAAAGCGATGCTGAACTCCTGAGTTCTTCAACAAAGATAGAACCATAGATAAGTATACTTCATAAAAGCAATAAAGTTAATTTAAGTCTGTAATAGCAGTGCAGTTACTGATGGCTACTTCTTCAAAGTTAAAACATAGAGACACAGACAGTAGTTCAATGCACACATTCATAATGCTCACACACCCATCAACAATTATTGGCCAGAGTAGTAAATCAGTGTACAAATTAAACATATCCAAAAATGTGCAAAAAAGTCAACCTTGACAGGAAAAAAAACCTTTTTACATAATTTTAAACTGTCCAACATTCAACTAAGATTAAAAATGTTTATAAAGTGAAACTAATAGGTTAAATATAAAGAATTTAATGGTTACATTAAAAAAAATGTACATTAGGCCAAAGGGTAAATTTACAAATTGATAATTATACTTTGCAACAATTAAAGTTTATTCTCAAATTTATCCAAGTTTATTCTTATTTACAATGATATTTGAATAAAAAGAACCATGTGAAATGTACGAGATGTCAGGCATTTAAAGTATTTTTGGTATTAACTTTTTTATAATATTTCTGAATGCAGGGTAGCAAATTTTAAAACAGCAATAGAAAAATGTAAACCTTTTACTTACTAAGATTGTATTTTAAAACAATCATTTGTTTCTAAAGAAGTATTCTTGTCCTTAAGACACTGTACTTTCACTTGAATAAGGTATATTGCAAGGATTTGGCCCACTTTTTTTTTGCCCATAGCCTTTTCAGCTCAAATGTTTCCACTAGTCCTCTCCTCTTATTCCAGATGGGAAAAAAAATCTTCAGAAAAGTGACAATATGTCAAATCCATTTTAGAGTCTAAGTATCTACTAGAGCTTAAGATGTTATTTTGTTACTTATCTCTCCCTTCTAAGTAATGCTAATGCTAAAATTACCAGCAGTTATATATGCTTTTAAAAGATAAATTCTAAAAATAAATAAATAAATGAACATAAAAGTGCTTTTTCAGCATAGTCATAAACCTTACTGTTCTCAACTGTCATGATGGGATTCAGATACCCTTATCTGGGGACAAATTCTGCAGGTATACTGGAATGCAGACTCTTCCTTATGTTCTAAAATGTGTATGGCACAAAGCAGACTGGTGTCTATTATTTACTTTTCTTCACAGCTTTCCTGAAATGCCCCTCAAGTCAAACATAAGATACTAGAAAGAAAGTACACCACCGATCTGAGGCATATATCAATGAATCTATGGTCATCTGATGTTAATAAGATTGGCACGTGTACAAGCTCAAGTTTCTAATGTCCATATAGTTCCATAATAGCTGAAGTAAATTCTGCATGTCTAAATGCAAGCACTGAGCACCTCTCCTTTTTCTTGAAGGATAGATTGAAATACAAATTCTATTAGTACCTACTTCATCATTTTTATCCTGTTAGCTTACAGGTGGGCAGAAGTAACAGTGTTAAATCATTTTGGCAATGTGTGCAGGGAATATAAAAACTTTGGTTTAAAATGATTCTGATAATACAGATTGTGAATACAAACAAAAAAGTAATCAGTCATAGGGAACAATAGTACTCACTGACTTAATACCTTTGCTATTATTAACAAAGATATCATATTACTGTCAATTAAAATGCAGAATTATGAAAAACATGAAGAATTATATAAAAGACTATATGCAGGCAACAGATAAAATTTATTCTTGTCTTGACTATAGCTACGACTCCTCCCTCAACTTTCTGAAACTAAATCATGTCCACTCTCACTATCACTGAAAAAAGATTCTTCAGACTCCTAACAGCTCATCACCATTTACGGCTCTGAAAGGCAAGTACCAGAAAATGGTTGACTCTGAGACTTGCAACACCTATGACAGCATCCTGTTCAGAATGCAGGCAGAAGTCAAGATAAAGCCAAAAACACTGTGAAGTAGGAACAGTGGCTTCATAGCATACCTTCCCTAGCCAACCAAAGGGAGGTTTAAGAAAATTTCCTTTTGAACATTTCATAAGCTAAGGAAGCTTCTGTTGATATTGTCTGGCAGAATATCTATTCCAAAGAGTTCATGAAGAACTATGGAAAATCAATTACTTTCTATTTATGGGTTATATACAAGCTATTATATACACATACAAATTTAATTGTAATTTTTTTGCAACCAAGAGCTTGGCAATTTACAATAAATACTTTTATTAAACAATCATTTGTACTAGTTACTTGTAGAAAATGTGCTGGCATTCCTACCCAAGGACGATTACTCTCATCCATCATCAGTAGGTCATACACTATTCCTTCTGTCTGTTCCTTCAAGAACAGAAACTAATCTAACTGAACATTCATACCTTTTCTCTTTTCCCATTCCTGCCCCAACTCCACACACACACAGACACACACACTTCACAGAAAAGTAAGCTAGAGTTTTCATCAAAATGTTAGATTAGAATTTGCTATCCCTGGATGTCTTGCACATTGCCCCAAGTCTCGGTGCCTTAACATTTGTAAACCATTTAAACAACCTCTTCAGGGCAAAAAACAACCATTCTACCTCTGCTATGAAAATCGTAACTGAAATATGATATACAAAAAATCTGGACAGTGTCAGTATGATCGAAAATCAAGCAATCAGCCTGGAAAACAATTTACTATGCATTTCTTTAGAATTAGAATAACTCTAATTACCTTAGGAGTTCACATCTAGTGGAGACTGCAGTGTGTGTGTCTAATGCTAATGCTTGTCTTCTAACATTTAAAAGAAAAGGTAGAAAAGGGTAGGAGTAAGAAGCAGGCATTAAGAAATATTTAAGGGCCAATACACAGTCAAATCAACTCTTAAAATTACTGATTTTAGAAAAAACCTTCAGTTTGGTGGGTAATGTAAATTATTGATATAAAATAAAATTAAGGCATACAGAGAAAAAGGCACTACCAAAAATTAACAATTAAATTGCTTTTCATTAACATTTAACCAATCTTAAAATTCAAATAAATATGAATAATTACATTTGTAACAAAGGTCAAACGACAGGAAACAGTAAGGTCTCAAGAAATTGTCCTGTTCTTAGCATTAACACCATGGACAGAGTTCAATTTCTATCTTCTTTTTAGATATTTTAACTATTTAGACTGAAAGAAAGTATTTGGTTTTTCTTTTCTTAGAAGCAGAAAAGAACACTATGGTATGGAATAAATGTCCTCCATCACTGAAATTGTTAGAGAAGAGGCTGGATTTTGTAAGAAGGAGTCCTGAGGGAGAGAGAGAGGTTGCCTGACCAATGAGGTTTTTCTAATTTGGGAATACTTTTAATCTATGCTGTTAATAACATTTTAATTTTTAACTGCCAATAATTACCTAAAGTTGCTTTCCCCTTACATCACAAAAAACAGTAAGATTTTAAACATCATTACTGAACTTTCAGAGTTACAGTATGCCCTATTGTTTGTCCATGTTTCTTTCTAGACTGTGACCTCCTTGAGAATAAATTAATTTAGTACCTGACAAAATAAGCCACAATTATTGAATAAGCAAATGAAGAAGATTCACCCTATTTTTAAAAATTGACATTATTATTCTTCATTGACATCGGGTGATTTTATCTCCAAGCTTTTATCTGCAGACCACAATGAAATCATTGGCTCAGAACTCTGCCATGAGCCAAGGAGTCCACATGTGGCAAACATCTTGGCTTTTGAGCCCAAGCTTGGGCATCCCTACAAACTATTCATGTGTCTTATCATAACTCTATCTCAGAAATACTACAGACCAGATCTGACATATATGAGAGAGGTAAAGTAGCAGAAAGCTACTCTAAACAAATAATTTCACTTTCTTAATGTAGTTTCTACTGATAATAAGGTAGACTCTCAAATGAAAGCCAATTTTATTTACTCTAACTTTTATTTTTTTTTGTAGTCCAGCCTGTGTGTCATCAGTCTTTAACCATTTTTCAAGTTAGAAACATATTATGTAAATGAGGAAAACTGAAAAATTTTCAAGATATTCATACCAAAAATTTCAAAGTCTATATATACTTTTAAATACATTTTAAAGAATTACCAACCGTCAAAATTTCCATTACCCATTATATTTTTCAACCCTTTTATTCAATATATTTTGTTTGTAATGTAAAAGATTTTATATTTGGCCCAAACCTAAGTAATGCCATTTTGAATCTCTCAAGGCCTAAGTAGAAAGATACTTCCTGAAAAGCACAGGTGAGACTGCTAGTGAATCTTCTCCAGCACCAAAAAGTCTGCCACAATGAAAGCAGAATGCATTTTAAAGGCACAAAGTCAGCAGTCTCATTTTCCAGCCTCAGCAAAGAAACATTACAGTATAGGAGAATCAGCTGTGCATTTAAAAAACAAAACACATTTAGAGTTATCTTAAAAAATTCAAATTTCATTTGTTGATTCATACCATCATTAGAAATAATAAGTTGGAGTGTTATATCTAACTGCCCCGATAGAGGTGTTTTGCTTCAAAATTTTCTTTTTTAAACTTACTTTTGGTCTTTCATACCTCACCCACTTCAAGCTTTTTTGTTGTAGTAGCTGTTATATATATATATATTAATTTTTATTGTGGTTTCGGTACCTTTACAACTTGTTTAAAATCAATTCACATCACATTTTATATAATAACTCTGTAAACTATTAGTCTATTTTATGTCTTTACATAAAGAACAACATTTCCCCATAGCTAATAATATTTTTCTTATTATAAAACAAAGGTCTTCTGCAGCAGTGTTAAAGTAGTAGTTTCTCTTCAGATTTATTTTCTATAGTATTTAAAAACACAAGAGAGACTGAAAAATGCAAATAATTTTGCTTTGAGTTTCACAATCTCCCAAGATTTCTCTTTAAAGAGCATTTGTCTCATATTCTGCACCACTGGTTACCCTGACAGACCAAAAATGAGCCAGAAGGAAATCACAACCATACGAGGCAAAGAAACAAAGAAAAAGCCCACTGCTCCAGATACTATGATCTTACTCAAGTAGGAGACATAGCTTCACTTATAAAAGATAAAGAAATACAATAGATCCTTGGGGGCTATGTTTACAACACAAAGATTTGACAGTTGATTTTCCAGGGGAGGGGCCACTAATGTATATTCTTCTTGGTGAACCACTTTCTTTCATTATAAAGTATGGCAGAATCTTTGTGCTTTGACTTCTCAGATTAGCTGTGGAATTTCAAATTTCCTACAGGGAACGTCAGAAAGGACCTTGTTGCAGTAAACCAAAGTCTTCAGGAACAGTAAAAGAATCCCTAAAGATCATACTTTTTAGCACAAAATAAAATACCTGAGTCCCCTATAAATCAATCTCATAAAAGGTATCACTAAATGGACCTCCAGGAAGACTACTATTTTCTAAATCTTTAAAAATAAAGTACTTAGCACTTATTTAATAGTGAAAAAACTGCAAGTCACCAAATTATTAATATCATTCATATTTTTCAGTAGCATAAGTTCCTTAGAGTAGAATTCTCTTAGTTGTCTCCTTCCATTTAATGTCCTTGGTCTTACTGGATACGTTATGCTAGAAACAGCTGGTAGTTTTTAATTTTCCTATAAAGTAGTTAATATTTGTTTTGATATGCTTTTCTTTCCCCCAAATTACAAATTGAGTTAAGGAAAGAATATATACAGATGGCTGAGTTCAATAAGCTCCATGTTTAAATTCATTTTGTTTCTAAAATGGAAGTTACTGATTTGGGTGCAATATGCAGCTGGTAAGGAATGGATTGCTACTTTCTATTCAGATCATTCACCCTTGACTTGAACTAGTGATATCTTCTGTTGTAAAACCCTCATTATGCATTACATCACTTTCTCTTTGAAATTTACTTTTTGCAAGGAACCTGCTTTGTAAATGGCTGTTACCAGTTTATAACTTGAGGCTGGTCTTTGCAACACAGTTTTTCAATTTTGGCACTTTTGAAATTTTGAGCAGGACAATTCTTTATTGGAAGGCAGGAGGTACTTGTCCTTGTATACTGTAGTTTGTTTGGCAGTATCCCTGGCCTCTGCTCACTAGATGCCACTAGCATCCTCCTAAGTTGTGACAACCAAAACTGTCTACAAGCATTGCCAAATACCAAAAGAAATTATCCCCACCCCACCCTTGAGAACCACTGTTTTAGTATTTGTTTGTTTTTTGAGGTACTTTAGTATTCTGTAATCCCAAGAACGAGGGTTTTATCTCATGACACTAGCTTTATGGATACTCCAGGTTAAACATTTAGTTCCTAAGAATGTTGATCTATGGGGAATCAGGAGCTAGAAGTAAGAAGATATAATATATATTATTTTTGTAATTTCTCCTTTCCATTAATTTCGGGACTTTCTCCCTCAGGTAAAGAACACAATTTAAAATACACTAAACAACAACTAGTTCTACTTTTCATTATTTCTGTTGATGGGCAAACATGGTCTCTTCTACTGCTCACACACTGAATTAGAGCAACCTCCTTTTGTCTTTTAATTTGGATTTGTTCACTGACTTCCCATATCTGTTTTAAAATAAAATACTATCTTTTCTTTTTTTAAATAGAAACTATCCCTCAAGGTTTATAGATTCCAGTAACATGGATCTTTTATAGTGTATTTGCTCATTATACTGGCTAGGATTAACAAATAAACATACCTCTTAGAGATTCGTATTTTCTGTCAAGATTCCTACTGAACGAAAAACTTGGTAGACAGAGGTTAGGATCTAAAGAATACAGGTATAAGAAGGAACCTATATTCTTTAAGTTGAGTACCTACTTTAAAACAGAGTTTAGGGCTTAAACCCACAAATGAGAATTAATTTTAAACACTATCATTAAAAACTACAAATCACGCATCATTTTCTTGTTTTCCATGTCTCCCCACCACCATCAATTTGTCGGTGACACAGAGAAAGACTACAATCTTTAGGTATTCCAAATGATTTGTTTGATCTAGAAAGAGTGACCATGTACTAAAGTGCTTTATGTCTCTGAACCACATCAGTACATTATAAAAATTAAATTAAAAAAAGTTTCAAGTTCTTGTAAAAGAAAAGAAGATTAAATATAAAAAATTTAGGTTACTGTTATTAAACAAATTTAACCAAGAATCAAGAGAAACACTTTCCCTCTTGTCTTTTTTTTCTCCCCCATCTCTCTTTTTTATAAAAAAGAAAAGTGCAGTCAGAGAGAAGGTGAATGGATAGAGGGGAGCCAGGCAGAGGCACAGGAGAGGTTATTGGCCACTAGTGATAATGCACAAACATGTGCCTTAAGAGTTCCTCAGCTGAAGGTCTCACTTTGGCCTCTATAAAGATCCGTTTGAGGAAATCTCGAGTATAGTCTGAGACATGAGATGGCAGCTTTGGGTTTGTTGGCTGAGTGGCGATTTTAAATATGGCAGCCATTGCTTCATATTCCGCCCAAGGAGGCTTTTCAGTTAGCATTTCTACCACAGTACAGCCCACACTCCTAAAAAGAAATTTTAAAATTATATTACACAAACAATATCATGATGAAAGAAAGCCAGTTAACTACATAATTAGACATAGGAGTGAAGTCCATATACATTTAAGTATGACTTGGTTTCATTAAAAGGTTGTAATCATATATAACATAATTTAAACATAAAAATCAAGGAAAATAAACCACAATTTAGGGATTGACTCCAATGGTTTTGGCTAACCAAAACCAATGGTTTTTGGCTAAGCAAAAATCATTACTCATTTTATAATTTTTGCTTTAAATAATTTTGTAACCTGATATCAAATATAACTTTTCTGTCTTTATCTTACAAATACAAACATTAAAACTTTTTGTTTGCCTTTAGGTGCTTAAAATGAATATTTGTTGTATTAAAAACTTTTCTGGTGGACAGCAGAAAATGGTCATTTTAAGTTTTAGCTTAACATTATTAAGTAATTAAAGATTAACTGAATTATAAGAGACTAACAATAAAGATTAATTACTTTTAAAGTTCTTCAGGGAAATGAAAGATAGTTTTCTGATGCTGAAGCTGCTTAAGACAAAATTCCTCCTGAAGAATGGAAGACAGGTTCAAGACCTCTATTTATTTAGTTGATGATTAAGTCTCAAAGAAGCATAATTAAAATATTAATCCTTGTAATCCCAATATCCCATTTCAAAAGTACAAAAGGTAACTGAAATCTGGCTCAGTAATTTCCATCCTGGTTGTAAATAAGTAAGGCAGGTATTTTCAGGCAAACCTACCAGATGTCAGCTTTTCTGCCATACCCTTCCCCACTAATGACCTCAGGGCTCATCCAGTATGGTGTGCCTGTGACTGACTTCATTCCTGTCCCTGAAAGACAGATGCTTTGAAGCCGTTTGCTGGCTCCAAAATCTCCTAGTTTGACGTTGCCTGTTGAATCTCGCAGAATATTTGCTCCTAAAAATAAGAAACATTCTCATTTCATTACTTTTATCAGCAGTTTGGAATATAATCTAAAAGAACAATGGCAGAGAATTAAACTTAGTAACTGACTCTTCAATCTGTCTTCAAAACTAGGTTGCTTTTCATCTTCCAAACATTACCTGTCACAACACCAGTCACACAAACAGTACTCATTAAGGACAAACACTGAATTTTTAGAGTCAGAAATGTGCTTTAAAACCTAAGAAGGTTCTCCCACGGAAAAAAACTGATGTGGAGGGAGAAGAGGATGAAAAAGAAGAGAAAGGGGAAAGGGCTCAGAGAAGAATGGAAAGCAACAGCAGGCTCTTGGGCACAGTTTCTCTATCATAAAGCAAGGGGCTTATGGCTGAAGTTTAGTTCTCTGAGAAGGAAACTCCTGAAGGAATCTGATAATCAAGACTTCTGTCACTTTTCCCACTCTGCTATAACTTAATGTTAATTATCGTACATTTCACCATTTTCCTAAATATTAGGTTTTGCTTTATATTAATTTTATTTCTCAGTTTCTATATATTTTAACTCTCTTCTAAGCAAGCGTGGAGCTTGTTTTAAAATTTCATCTACTTGAATAATAAATTTAATTTATTTATTACAAACTGACTTTGATTGCCTGGTTTGAGGTAGTTTGTTGACTTCTCTACCATAAAGTTTCTGTTTCTGCCCTTCTTCTACCATAATCTTTAGGAAAAGTTCACTATGCGTAGCCCACAGTTAAGGAATCAGGAATTACACTCCAGGCTGAGTAGATACATAAATTTGGAATTATTCTGCACAGATTTGTCTCCTCTTTTCCATTTATTTATTCAACCATTCATTTATATCAGTACGAGCACATTGGTATTTATTGTATACTTTGGGTTATAAACCAATGTAACCTTTTTTTTCTTTGCTCAAGTCATTCTAGGTTTGGCCATTGGGAACTCTTTCGATTGGCTCCTGAGTCCCTTTGTCATATACTGATCATTGTGTTCTTGTCTGTTTTCTCACTGGGTTGTTTTTAGCATTTTCTTACTTTGGGGCACTGTTAGATGCTTCATGCTCAACTTGTATATTCCCTGCATCAGTCCTATAGTCAGCCTTCTCTCCAAGGAGCCCTGGTTATCAGAAACCAAGAACCAGGTGCTAAGTTCACTTATTTTTTATTCTCTATTTTCCCCTTTATCATTTTTAAAATTCTATCTTTTTTTTCTGGGATTACAAGTCTAGTTTCTGTCTTATAAAAATTATTTCTAGTCTCATTTTTAAATAACGTCTAGTCTGTTTTTAAATATGCAATTCATTTTATCTAATATTCATTTTAAAATTTACTTCATTGTTTTTAGGTCTTCTACCTATATTTTACATTTAAAAAATCCTTATTTTTTTTCTTATTCTTTTTTTAATGGCCTCTAAGAAGGAGAGTTAATAGTGCAGAGACTATGTACTGCCCATTCTCACCCTGAGCTTCTGTACTTGACTTTCCATTCTCCCAGCAAATTCCCCAACCTAGTGGATGATAGATCTTCGCAGTTTCTCTGCAGGGGAAGGCATAGGCTCCATTCTCTGCATGCCATAAGTCTAAGTGATACACATATCAGTGACTGTGCAAAACAGCACCGTCTATCCTATTTAACATCTCACTGTACAACACTTAAAGAGGATACTGTCAAAGAAAGGCACTCTCTCTAAAATATCTAACCAGGGGCCATACCACCCTGAAACACCCAATCTCCTCTAAAATAATTTAACCAGGAGAAGGACAACAAACAAATCATATTTTACTGGGAAGAAATAGTCCCAGGCAGGTCACAGAAAGGGAGAACCATCACTGAGGAGTAATCATCAACGTTGAACCAATACCCACCCACACAAAGGGCTGAGGAGAAAAACATGTAATCACATTCCCAATATACTCTCCTACTTTTTCAAAACTTATTTTGGATACCTTAAGAGTAAGCTATTGCCCTGGCCAGTGTGGCTCAGCTGGTTGGAGCACCATCCCATACAATGAAAGATTGTGAGTTCAATTCCCTGTCAGGCTACATGCCTTGGTTGTGTGTTCCGTCCCTGATTGGAGCACGTATGAGTGGTGATAGATCACTGTCTCTCTTATCATTGTTTCTCTCCCTCTCTCTCTCCTTTCCCTTCCCTCTCTCTAAAATCAATAAGCATGCCCATGGGTGAAGATTTTTTTGAAAAGTAAAGTAAGCTATTACAGAGATTTTTCAAACATCTACAAAAACAGGTAAAATAGTTTATGTACCCATCACTCAGCCTCAACCACCATCTGAAAATCTTCCCCAACCACACTACCAGCCACTCCCTCTTTCCCTCACATTACTTGAAGTAAATTCAAGACATCATCTCAAAAGTTCAATACATAGATTTAAAAGATAAGGAGTCATATTACACCTAACAGGATAAACAATAATGCCTTAATAATGTTACATACAGAGTGTATTTTACAGTTCTTTAAAAATCAGAATCCAAATAAGTTCCTAACATTGAGACTCAATGATATATCTTTTAAGTCTTTTCTAAAGTTCCCTCTGTTTTTCCTTTGCAGTTTATGAAGAACCTAAGTTGTCTGCCTGTAGCTTTCCTAATATCTAGATTTTGCTGACCCCACCCCAGGGAATCATATTTAATATGTTCATATGTCTGATACATCTGTTTTTTAACAGATATATCTGTTATATATGTTATATTTGAGAGTTCTGTAACTCTCAAATTTGGTAGCTGAGTCTAGAGATTTATCAGACTCAGATTCTTTTTTTTTTTTTTTTGGTAAAACTATTTCATAGATATGATGATCTAAGGACAGGAAGAGTGTCATGCTCAGCTGTCTCTGTTTTAGTGATGTAAGCAACTGTTAATGTTTAATGTTTATACCTATTAATTCATTAGTGGTTGCGAAATGGTACTATCCCATCATTCCTTCTTCATTTGTTAGTCAAAATGCTTCTATAAAGGTAAGTTTCCTTTCATCCACTCTTTAGTCCTCAATGGTTTAATTACAAAAAGGCAAAATAAAGGAACCCTGTTATGAAATAATAGGTTGGTTCCCTAGTGACAATGATCAATTGGTTTTTTCCTGGGTTTCATTATTAACTCATAGGTTTAAACTTAAAAGTCATCAGGTATCTTTCTTTTCCCATTACGATTTAAAAATAGCTCATTATAAAAATTTGGGGAATGTAGAAAAAGTAAAAAATATGCCAAATAAAATGATTATCACTCATTCTGCCATCTGTAAATAACCACTGTTAATCACAAAAAAAATTTTCTTCTAGGTCATACTTTAATTTTACAAATGAGATCATATTGCATATCTAATTTTATATCTTAACTAATTTTATATCTAATTTTATATCTTCTCCTATCAATACATTTGCCCTATAATGACTTTAAGTTAGCTTGTTGTTTCCAACCTCCTCATTTTAATAGTATGGTTTGCCATTCTTTCTGATAAGGTCCACTTGGGCTTGTATCTCCCCTTGGTTACTTTACCTTCTCTCATCATGAGTACTAAAAAGAAACTGGCTTGAAGAGAGATCACTCCTAATAGACAAATTCACATTCAAATAATTTCCCTATGTGGTTCTTGAAGCTATCAGTTTTTGTTATTTAACAACTGCACCTATTTCTTTTAGATCATGAACCATGTCCTCAATCTCTCAGACTATAAGCTCCATTCTAGTACACATGATCTGGCTTGGCATTCTGCAGCAGATTGTACTGTATCACTAGAAACTGGTTAGAAACGTTTTCTTTAGCCTGAATACAGCCATATTCAGGATGTGAATCACCACAGGGAGGCAATAAATATCTGGTAGCTCATCAGAACCTTCAGAAAGATCGATGAAAAATGTACTTTTTATTATTTATATATGCATGTATTTACTATTCTTACCAGTTGATTAACTAGAGTCATCTCTGAATTAGGGGTCATACCCAATTTCTATAGAACCAAACTTCAGTTTTTATAGAATCAAACCTCCAGGGATTCTTTGTAGTACAGAATTTAAGCCCTCTCAAATTTTACACATCTCTACCACTCACTTTTGTCTCACTTCATGCATTTATCTTACATACCTGATCCCTGAAAGCAGATGAATTTTAAAAAATGAGCTTAACTGAGTTGAAGTTCATCAAAGTTCAATCTTAGGCTCTCTTTCTCCCTCTTCTTATTCTCTCCCTAGATAATAACACCCATTCTGATGGCTTTAATTAAAAACGATCTCAAGCCCTGGCTGGCGTAGCTCAGTGGATTGAGCGCGGGCTGCGAACCAGTGTCGCAGGTTCGATTCCCAGCCAGGGTACATGCCTGGGTTGCAGGCCACAACCCCCAGCAACCACACATTGATGTTTCTCTCTCTCTCTATCTCCCTCCCTTCCCTCTCTAAAAATAAATAAATAAAATCTTTAAAAAAAACGATCTCAACATAAGAATGTCATCATCGTAGCTATCTGAATGCTTTCTAGATACCAGACTATTTTAAGCATATTATACACATTAACTCATTTAATCCTTTCTTTTCAAAATATTTTATTTCTTTTTAGACAGAGGGGAAGGGAGAGAAGCATCGATGTGTGGTTGCCTCTTGCATGACCCCTAGTGGGGACCTGGCCAGCAACCCAGGGATGTGCCCTGATTGGGAATCGAACCAGCAACCCCTTCTGTTGGCAGGCCAGTGCTCAATCCACTGAGCCAAGGGCTCAGTGAGCCAAATGAGCCAAAAGGGCTCATTTAATCCTTTCAAGAAATCTTACAAGTTGGACATTATTATCACCCTCATTAAATATGAGAAACTCAGGCACAGAGGGGTTATGTGCCTTGTGCAAGGTCACATGGTTAATGACAAATAAAGCCTGAATTTGAACCAGGTGATCTAGTGTCAGATCCCCTTCTCTTAATCACTGTATTGTAATGCTTATGTTCTCTATATAAAAACATGGTCTCATTTTTATGATCATTTGAACTTTTTTGATTTGGTAAACCCCCACAGGGGAGCTACCCACTCTGGAGACCCGAACATCAAGACTAGTTCAAATATTGACAGAGTGCATGAGAAAAGAGAATTGTTTTCCTATGATATTTTAAAGGTGAATTTATTAATTTAAATATTGTATTTCTTAACCATATTACTCATTTCATTAACAAAACACAAAACCTGTATACTTAAAAAATACCTCACTACTTACCTTTGATATCTCTATGAACAATCATATTACTGTGCAAATAATGGACACCCTCCAGAATCTGACGGGTGTATTTCCTAGTCACATTCTCAGTAAGAGCTCCATATGCTTTTAATTGGTCCTTAATTGAACCCTGTAAAAAAACAAAGACAACTATGGTATGGTTTGAAATAAAAACTACTATATTAACATTCTTTTTAAAAAGAATCCTAGTTCATCAGTGGGAGACTTTAGTTGGAGAGCACAGGAATTCTCAGTAAGAACACATATGCCATCTCATTTACATACAACTCTTTACAGTCCCTAACTAGAACTGTAGAAGAGTATGGGTCACAGATAAAGGAGGCCTTTAAAATTGCTTCTTGATGGATACCCTTGTTTCTATGACTATATTGGTCCTAATTACCTTCTCTGCCTTGCAACTGTGTTTTTAAAAATTCTCTAATACTTTTATACTGCTTTTTTGCCCACAATGTATTTTTGTTTTTCCTACTTGTCCTTCCACATTATGTCCTACTTTATTTTTTTATTTGTTTTTTTCTTCCTCTGTTTTTAAGTGTTTTATTGATATCTTCTAATTTATTTCTAGAACGAATGGGTATAATTACAAAACCAGAATACATGAGGTTTTTAACTTTTTTCTTTATATACTCAACATTCTAATTCAAAACATGAGAAAATACATTAAAGAAGAATTTCAATCTTATAAGTGGTTTTTAAGGCAGGATGAGGTGCCACCTCTGAGAATGCTGAATCAGTCTAAAGTGAGATGTACACACTGAATTTTACAAAAGCTTCCCTACTGATTCCAAAGTACAAATTTGATGAATAATCAACCATTTTACGAAATGGAAATGAACTCCTTCCTGAGGGACAAATCTTTTATTTTAAACAGTAGAATACATTTAAATGTTCCTGCCTTTCCTTATATTTTAGTAAACTGTACTTTGTCATATAAAAGTAGATACTTGAATTTTATAGGTTTAACCATTTGCTGTTTCGACTATTAATGAGCAATTTCTGAAAGGACAGAAAGATGCCACTCTGCTGGCCTAGATTTGCAGACCTGTGTGGAATGAGCTCAGCCAACTATCAACACGTATTATCCCACATAGCTTGTTTCTTCAGGCTACTTATTATGCTTTCACTTGTAGTAATACATACAATAACCCTGCTAGGCTGTGCTTTCCAAACAATAAGTCTCCAAATACTTGTAGGCTGTGAATGAGTGATGGCCTTATGGATCCTCTAAACTGTTAGACAACTGGGCCAGTGGCCTAAGGAGCTAACAGATCCATTCATATAGTCTTTTTGCATTTGTGTACCATAAAGTATTACTTTTTTATTTTTAAATTTTAATATATTTTATTGATTATGCTATTATAGTTGTCTCATTTTTTTCTTCCCTTTATTCCCCTCTGTCCTGTTCCCGGCTCTCACCATCATTCTCCCACCTTATTTCATGTCCATGGGTCATACATGTACAAGTTCTTTAGCTTCTCTATTTCCCATACTGTTCTTAATCTCCCCATGTCTATTCTGAGCCTACCATTTATACTTCTTATTCCTTGTACCTTTCCCCCAATTCTCCCCTCAACCCCTCCCTGTTCATAACCCTCCATGTGATCTCCATTTCAGTGAGTCTGTCCCTCTTCTACTTGTTTGCTTAGTTTCCTTTTATTTTTGTTAGCTTCAATTGTTGGTAATTGTGTTTGTTGTCATTTTACTGTTCATATGTTTTATCTTCTTTTTCTTAGAGAAGTCCCTTTAACATTTCGTATAATAAGGGCTTGGTGATGATGAACTCCCTTAACTTGGCCTTATCTAGGAAGCACTTTATCTGCCTTTCCATTCTAAATGATAGCTTTGCTGAATGGAGTCATCTTAGATATAGGTCCTTCCCTTTTGTGACTTGGAATACTTCTTTCCAGTACTGTCTTGCCTGTAACATTTCTTTTGAGAAATCAGCTGATGGGAACAGTTCTTATGGGAACTCATTCATAGGTAACTGTCTCCTTTTCTCTTGATGCTTTTAAGATTCTCTCCTCTTTAATCTTGGGTAATGTAATGATGATGTGCCTTGGTGTGTGTTTACTTGGGTCCAACTTCTTTGGGACTGTCTGAGCTTCCTGGACTTCCTGGAAGTCCATTTCCTTTGCCAGATTAGGGAATTTCTCCATTGCCTTCAAATAAATTTTCAATGTCTTGCTATTCCTCCTCTTCTTCCAGTACTCCTGTGATTCAGATGTTGGAACATTTAAAGTTGTCCCAGAGGTTTCTATGCCTCTCCTCATTTTTCTTGAATTCTTATTTCTTCATTTTGTTCTGGTTGAATTTTATTTCTTCCTTCTTGTCCAAACCATTGAGTCCCAGTTTCCTTCCCTTCACTGTTGGTTCCCTATACATTTTCCTGTATTTCACTTTTCATAGCCTTCACATCTTCCTCTATTTTACTACCATACTCAACCATTTCTGTGAGCATCCTGATTACCACTGTTTTGAACTCTGCATCTGAAAGGTTGGCTATCTCTTCATCACTTATTTGTATTTTTTCTGGAAGTTTGATCTGTTCTTTCATTTGGGCCATATTTGTTTGTCTCTGCACACCTGTTACATAGTAAGGGGAGGAACCTTAGGTATTCACCAGAGTGGGGCAACCCACATAGTGGTATTGTGGAGCTGTATGTGGGGGAATGGTCCAAGAGGGAACAATACCACTTGCACAGCTCTTGGCCTGCTTCCAGTCACTTCCCCTCGCTACCACAAGCAAATTGGGCCCTTCTGGTGCTAATTCCCGGGTATGTGGGTTTGTGTTGTTCTAGGACCCTGTGGGTTTCTCTAACAAACTCTCCTGTGAGGCTAGGAGTTTCTTCTGCTGCTGCAACCCCCACAGGTTTTTTCAGTCAGAGGTTTTGAGGCAACCCTGGGTTGCACGGTATTTCTCACTCCCCAGTTGTTCCTCCTGGTTTATCCACACGCAAATATGGGACTGCTTGCTCCACCAGCTGCCACCTTGCTCACCCCAGTCCTCCAGCCACTGCCTTGCCGCAAGTCCTCTCCACCCCAGCTGCCCATGTCCACGCCTCATACCAGTCTGGATGAATGTATCTTCTTTAACTCCTTGATTGTTGGACTTCCATACAATTTGATTTTCTGGCAGTTTTGGTTATTTTTGTTTTTAAATTTGTTGTTGTCCTTCTTTTGGTTGTGTGAGGAGGCAAAGTATATCTACCTACGCCTCCAATGTGGCTGAAAGCAGCAAATGTTACTTTCTTCAGTTTGAACAACTGTAATTGAGAAGCACTGTGCCAGCTAAAAATCCTGTGTGTGTAAAGGTAACAAAGATAAATCAACTCCTAATGCAGGTATTAAAATTAAAGTTTTGGTTCTAATATGAGAGTAGTTCTAAGTAAACTAAGGAATGGAATAGTACATTTGGGAAAATTGAAGAACAGAATGACAATTTGGGAGAATCTTGAATCTAGGGAATGAAGGGGTCAGCGTACTAAATTTAATTAGAGAAATTATATAGCATCATTCACAAACTTAGAGATTCAGGAAAGTCTAGGAATATGTCCAACCCATGTATACCATGAGCTCACCATATGTACAATTCATTTAGATTGCCGACAAACTATTACTAATTTCGTAACATGCTTTTCAAATTTAAGAAATGACAATATATACTTTGAAGAGATAGCTGCTCTTACAAAACCAAGTGTAGCTAAAGAGAAACATGATCTAATTACCTCTTCCTAAATAGTCCTAGTTAATTCCTAAGATTGTTAACTACATAAAGATTACACATATCCATTTGTGATATAAATCAGTTCTAACCAACTAAGCATTTTAATTAATCTTATCTTCAATCTAGGTCTCTATTCACTTATTCATAAATTTGTTTTCTACTTTAAATATTTATTGCACAAACAGTAATGAAAATCTGAATAAAAGAAAAAAACAACCAATGCCAACATCACACATTTCCATTTTTCTAAGCTTCTTCTGGCCTTATCCAAATACAGATACTTTTTAAATATCATAATTATCAAAAAGCATTTTGCATTATTTTTTCCTCTTATGTAAGTACTTCCTCCAACTTTGCTACATGGCCTTCACAATTTTAATTTTTAACATAAATTCTCTTGGACAATGCCATCATAATTTACTTCCACCATGGGCAATAAATTTCCTTTTTTTTAATCACAGATAATACTAAAATAAACAAAATAAATGTATGCAGCTTTTTCCTTTCTTTTGGATTACTGCTGTAGGATAAATTTCTGTGAGACTACCAGGTCAAAAGGCTTCAATATTTTTATGGCCTTCAATGCATCCCACCAATTTGTTTTCCAACAGGGATTAAAAAAAAACTAATTTACATTGCCAAAAGAATATCTGAAAATAAAGAGTAGTAATAATGAGTAACAGTGGTATCACTATAAACAATTAATAATTCACTATGATAAGAAATAAAGTATGCTGTTGCTCGTGTGAGAGTGAGAATGGTTAAGACCATTACTGTTAAACACTGATCCAGTGTTATGACCCATAAGTTTAAACTGCAACCTTGTACATTATACATATAATTCTCCTTTTTAAAAGATTTTATTTATTTTTCAAGAGAGGAGAAGGGAGGGAGAAAGTCAGGGAGAGAAACATCAATGTACAAGATACATTGATTGGTTGCCTCTCGCACACCCCCTGCTGGGGGCCTGGCCCACAACCCAGGCATGTGCCCTGATGTGGAATTGAATTGGTGACCTTTTGGTTCACAGGCAAGCACTCAATCCACTGAGCCACACCAACCAGGGCTACACATAATTCTAATAAGACTGATAAATCAAACCTTTTTTCTACCATGTACTGCCTGTTAAATTATGGGAATGGATATATTTTTAAATGAGTATATATCCACCACTTTGAAAATCATTAGTATTAGAATGTACTCTACATATTAAAATCACATTTTTTAGCTCCTAATGAAATTATTGACTGAGATAATGATTATCAATCTGTGTTAAAAACATTAGGTGGATGGCTGAAAACGAACTGGATACTCCTATGTGTCATTGCATAGCTCATTACTTTTTGGTCTTCAGTAAAAGAACAAAACTTTACAATAAAGGAATCAGAATGTCAAGCACCCTAATCTAGCAGTCAACCTTAGAATCACTAACCATGGAACAACCAAAAATTATATATCTACTAATAAGATACAACACAAAATACACAGCATCATGTACGATGCATTCTAATAAAAATGTTGATTGAATCTAATTTAGATTTGAGATCTAACTTGGAGTTTATAGAAAATAAGAGAATAAAGAAACAAATTATATAATGCCACGAGATGACATTGTGAAGAGAATAATAGAGTGATCTATCTATCAAATCTATGTCATATAAAAATTGTTCTAGATAAAAAGAGGAATAAGGGATATATCAGCTAAATGTAATATGTGATCCTGAACTAGATCCTGGTTTGGATAAACCAGCAATTATGGAGAGTTTTAAGAACCTTAGAGAAATCTGAATATGGACTGCTACGTATGTAACCTATTTTAGTGTATGTCAGCATTTTAAAAAACTAGTTGAAATAAAACAAAGATAGATGAAGATAGAAAATAAAATTATATTACTAATTTAAAACTCTTCTAAAATGTCATTAATTAGGTATAACATTTTATAATCAAAGTTTTATTGTTTCTCTTTCCTCAACTGAACTGTTAAATAGAATATATCTATTTCCAAAGGATATACTAACTTACCCCTGGCATATATTCCATAAATATGGAAAGTGTTTTTTCCTGGGGATCCCTCAAACAGCCATAATACTGAACAATTCGCTCATGCAGCAAATTTTTCAACAACTGAATTTCACACTCAAGTGCATTTACTTCCTGAAAGACAGAACTCACTGTTAAGACTTACAGCATTGTTAGTAAAAGTAAAAACTTCAAGTTTTATTGCCCATCAAGGTGATTTGATTCTGAAATTTCTACTTCCTAAGGAATAAACATTTTAAAGCAGTAACAATAACTTTTTTTTTTTTTTAAGATTTCATTTATTTATTTTTAGGGAGGGAAGGGAGGGAGAGAGAGAGAGGGAGAGAGAGAGAGAGAGAGAGAGAGAGAGAGAGAGAGAGAGAGAGAGAGAGAGAGAGGGAGAGAGAGAGAGAGAAACATCAATGTGCAGTTGCTGGGGGTTATAGCCTGCAACCCAGGAATGTACCCTGGCTGGGAATCAAACCTGGGACACTTTGGTTCCCAGCCCGCGCTCAATCCACTGAGCTACGCCAGCCAGGTAACAATAACTTTTATAACAGTCCTCGAAGATATGCTAAAGCAACATTAAGTCAGATCAGGAATATAACCAAGAGAGAAGGAATATAATCAAAAGAGAAAAATCCATGATACAAAGCAGATGAACATATCTAATTATCTATTTGTTTTGCAAATAATCTGTATTAAGAAAAAAATGCCATTGTGTTATAATTATTTTATCGAAACTGCTTTTTTTCTGTGTGAAGTGATCGTGCAGTCTGTGCAGTGATTCTTACCTTGCTGGTCTCAGGTCTATCAGGGTCAAATTGAACTTGCTTAACAGCCAACTCTCTTCCTGTATCAACATCATAACAGAGGTAGACCCTGCCAAAGGCTCCCTGGCCAAGCAGTTTGCCCAATCTCCAGTTGGTTGGAGCACGAGGTGCTAAAAAAGAACATTTTCTTAAAATGGAATAGATAGATTATCACAAAAATGGTTAAATACTAAATAAGTGTATTGCATTAGTATATGCTTGGGTGTAAGAGAAAATCATGATCATCCAAGTTTATAATGACCATCATCTTTGAAAATTTTTCTCTTCAATTTTCTAAGAATTCTAAACCCAAACTAGGTTTATAACCCCATAATTCATTTTTTCCAATGTGATATTTTCTTTCTTGGTTACACATGTAATAGTATTATTCACTTAATCTAAGATGCCACTGATTGTACAATAGACTATTTCTAATCTTTACTGCAGCAATATTTATAATTAGTTTTCCATCTGCCTATGATGTAGAAAGCTGGAAAGACTACCACTCATTCTAATGAGAAAATCTTGAAAGCAGCCACAGAGAAAAAGCAAACTAGAGGCAGAGGAACAAAGATAAAAATTACCGAACACTTCTCAGAAAGTCTGAAAGCCAAAAAACAACATTGACCAGTGTGGCTCAGCTGGTTGGAACACTGTCCCCTGGACCAAAAGGTCATAGGTTCACTTCTCAGTCAGGGCACATACCCAGGTTATGGGTTCAATCCCTGGTAGGGGAGCATATGAGAAGGCAACCAATCAGTGTTTCTTTTTCTCTCCCCTTCCTTCCCCCTTCCTTCCCTTTCCATCTCTCTCCCCCTCTCTCTCTTTCTCAACCCCTACCTCTGTCCCTTCCTCTCTCTAAAAAACAATTTTTAAAATATGTCCTTGGGTGAGGGGGAAAAAAGCCAAAAACTAATGGAGAAATAGCTTTAAAATGCTGAAAGAAATAAAACTGCCCACAATTCTTCACCCAGAAAATCTTTCAAAAATAAAGGAGAAATAAAGGACTTTTCAAACAAACAAAAGATGAAAGAATTTATTACCAGCAGACTTCTATCACAAGAAAGGTTAAAGTAATTAATTATTCAGGCAGAAAAAATTGGTTACCTGATGATTTTTGGATCTACAACACAAAGGTCTATAAAAATAAACTGATGGTATATATAAAAGACATTCTTTTCTTATTTTTAATCATCAAAAGATAGCTGTTTAAAGCAAAAGTAGCAGCAATGCAGTGTGAGGTCACAGATGTAAAAGTAAAATATGATGACATTAATACAAAAGGAAGGTATTCAGAATATGCAAATATTACTGCAATCTGTGAGCACATATCTTTGTATACACTGTTTACATTATAAAGTCCAAATATCTGACAATCTAGTCTTAGTTACCATTCTTGTTCTACTCCTACTCTTTCAAGTAAGATATCCACCACTTCAGAAAAAAGAAAACTATTCCCCACTTTCAGAATATGCCATGGTCCCCTGCATATGTCACCTCCTTAACTGGTGAATTCCTACTCACATTTAAGATGGAGATTAAATGCTATACTATAATTATTGTTCCAGACATCATTCTTCCTATTAGACTATATCTCAGAGAGTGTATTTGAAATCTCAGTGCAGGAACTCAAAAAAGAAATGTGACATGAATGAATGGATGACTAATCGGTAAAAAATTTCTTAATAAAAGCAAAGAACAAAATCATCTAGAGTAATTTAAAAGTAATACCATGTTTATACCTGACATTGCAAATCATCTTAGAAGTACCACTTTTATTTATTTTAAGCAGTTGATCCCACTCTAAGGTCTGGCTTGGTATCTATTCCTTTGAATACTATAAAATTCTGCAAAGGTTCTGTTAAACATTTCACTACGCCAATTTCTACTTACAGCGGCTAGGTGGGCTGATGTCCATTACAGTCAAAGTAGGATTATCTATGTCACTTCCTCTCCTTCTTATTCGACTATCATCATACTCTGGGGTAAAGATACTGCTTCCACTACTAGTGCTTAAGGAGTGATCAGTAGGACTGAAACTCACAGGAGACCGAAAGCTGGTCCCCTGTGTCCTTCTAGCTCTTGGAAAAGTTTTTCGACCTATGAAACAAAAATATAATTACCCTGAAACTTTTATTAGTATGTTATAATTAAATATTTTTAAAATTTATGATGTAAGGAACAGAAATCCATTCTGTGACAAGGCTAAAAAAACAAACAGTAATCATATTTGATTATATGCTTTAAACTTAAGATTATTCTTTTTTTAAGAGTTCAAGGAAATATCCTTGTTAACAGTAAATCATAAAGTCAATAATGAATACAAGGAAGAAAAAAGGTGAAAGCAGAAATGAAAAGTAGGAAAAAACAAACAAGATCTGAATACGAATTCAAATACGTTAATACATATATGCACACATTCATAAAATCATAGAACTCTCTCAGTTTGGGATAAAAAGTAGAAAAAATATATTTTATTCTCATTTCTAATCATGATTTAAAATATAAACCAAAATATAAAAGTTTATAGGTAGCAATATTTTTTTTGAAGTACAAATTTCATGAAGGAGTAACTTTCAAAATAATATTTTGAATTATTCATTTTCTTCTAAAAAAAGATAAATATTATGAGGTAAGTCAGCATATAGCTAAGATGTTATTGTAGTTTTAGTTATGATATAATTTCTTTAAAAAATTTTAGGCAGAAAACAGAATGATGGAGAATCAAGTTTATTTCTAATGGTATTACTTAAATATGAAATCTTTATTTTTGGTTATTTTTGAATTATTTTTATTATTATAAACTGTTCTTGTAATCTGATTGCCAGCAACTTACCATCATTATAGTCTTGATGGTGATATGAAACATGATACCGCCTTGGATATGTTCCTCCTTTTCCAAATTTCTCAAAGATAGGGTTATCAAAGTCTATTAAGACACATAAGAAACTTATCATTACTAAAAACATAAATATTTCTAATGATGAAAAACATATTTACACATTTTTATTTTATTTAAAAACAAACTCCCTCTCTCTCCCAGTTAAAATATTATTTAATGACATAAATGTTAAACATCCCAAATGTATATAATCTAACCTGAAAATTCCTGATGATTATCTGGATAGCTCTGTGCCCTTGGCATTCGTGATTTTGGATAGCTTTCCCTAAAAGTAGAAAATGTCACATTAAATTGATAGAAGGTAAATAAGACATTAAAAAATTTATATAATATCAATATCTGTATGTATGTGTGGAGATGTGTGTGTGTGTGTGTGTGTGGAGAGAGAGAGAGAGAGAAGCTCATTCCGAAATGTTAACATAACTAAAAAAAGAGAAACTTCTTCTTAAACTCTTTATTTGGTACATGCAAGAAAAAAGCCTGGCTTACAAACTGAACTCATAAAGTACAGTGGTAAGAACGTTACTCTTCAGCATTATAAGTGTTTGGAAATTCCTGTGTTTTAATCCTAGCTCTGCACTTAACTAGCTTTTACAACTTGGCAAATCACCTTTCTAGACTGCTTCCACAACTATAAAAAGGAGATAATTTCTAACTCATAAAGTATATACATTTTACATTACTATTTCCCTGAATTTTATAGTGTTTTAAATGGCTATCTTGAAGTAGGTGCAGGCAAAGACAAAGGCTTCACGTACACAGGTAACAAAAAATTCAATGTATATTGCCATAAAATATTAGTCATATTTTTACAATTTGCTTTCACAAATTAATACCACAGGAGATTAAAAAGGTAAAGATATTTTTTAATCCTCACCTGAGGATATGCTTATTAATTTGACAGAGAGAGAGAGAAACATCAATCAGTTGCCTTCCATATGTGGCCCAATCAGAGATTGAACCTGCACCCTAGCTATGTGCCCTGACTGGGAATCGAACCTGTACCTCAACCTTTTGGTGTAAGGGATGACACTCCAACCAACTGAGCCACCCAGCCAGAGAAATAGGTAGATTTTTTTTTTTAAGAGAGAGGATAAGGGAGGGAGAAAGAGGAGAGAAACATTAATCAGTTGTCTTTCATATGCACCCCAACTGGGGATCAAACCCACAACTTAGGCATGTGCCCTGACCAGGAATAGAACCAGCAACCTTTCACTTTGCAGGACAATGCCCACCAACTGAGCCACACTAGCCAGGATAAGATTCTAATGAAGATACTGACTCTGTGTGGTACAGGATAACTCTGTACACCGCAGGTAAACACTATCCTAACTGAGATCAAGAGGGAGGGTGCATTTGTAATAAAAAATTCAGTTGCAACCTGATCTGCCTTATAGTTCACAAAACAAGAGTACTTAAATTTTAAATCACAACGAACATACTGGGCTACAACTACCAAGAATTTTATATATAATTTGAAACAAATCAGGAAATCTCCAAAACATATTAATAAAAAAATTGATAGTAGTTTTGCCAACACAGTTTTAAAAGTAAATCTGCATAAATTCTAAGTTTGCATGTAGCTCCAAAACACAATTTCGGCAAGCAGGAATGCTCAAAATATAATCAAGTACTATTTTAACTAATAATACTGAGTACCATAACTATAGATAAATATCAATTACATTCCTCTAACTGTAGCACAAAAGTGTTGATAATTCAACTCACTGTATATATATGCATATTTACCCACATATGGTAAGAAACAAAAACTACAACCAACATTACCCCTCCAATGGACTATCAAGGGATGGACAACTTCCTGAGCCAGAATTTTCAGGGCTGCTTAAAAATAATGGGTCCAGCATCTAGAAAAACAGAGTTTCACCATTTGATGTTATATAACCAAAAGTTATTGCTTTTTATGAAATAGCTTTATTGAGATACAAATTATGTAACATAAAATTCACCCATTTAAAGTGTACTATTTAATTAATGGTTCTTAGTATCCTGAGAATTGTGCAACTTTCACAACAATCTTGAACACTTTCAGTACCCCAAAAAGAAACCCCATACCCAACAGCAGTCACCCACACAGAGTTTCTGATTTTTAAATGTTTAAAATGTAGTTGTCCCTTTTAGATAAGTTACAACTTCAAAATTTCCTAAGAGAAAAATATTGCTTCTCTATGGACTATTAGCTAAACCATTAAAAGCTAAAAAATTTCAAAAAATTTTGCTTACTGTAAATTGAACAAAGTCCCCACCCAAATGAGACTAATGACATCATGACTGCTACATTATTAGAAAATGAAAATTGCAATAATAAGCAGCCAATGTAATGTTAACGAAACAACAGGAACTCCATGGAAATACTTCAATACTACTAAGCTTTTAATAACATATTTTCTATTTCCTCTGTTCATTTTGTTCATTAGATTACACAAAAATATAAAATGCATCACAAATTTGCATATCATCCTTACGCAGGGGCCATGCTAATTTTCTCTCTATGGTTCCAATTTTAGTGTATGTATTGCTGAAGTGAGAACTTAATAACATTTTTAAATGTTTGAAGAGCTGACAAGCCTCACCTTCACAAAGTTAAATATTTATAGTTTTACTGTATCTTTCAAACATTAACTTAAAAATCTAAATATTAACCCCTGGATTACAAATACATGCATTCATATATTTATGGATGGGTAATATAAGATAATTTATCTTATTCCAGCTTTCTTTATGCATAAATGCACACAGGCACATGTAAATTAGTGGGCATTTTCCTACCTTTTTTTTTTTACTATTTTGGTCACTTAAGGAAGATATGTACACACTGAGAAAAGGTGTATACACATACATACACACACATATACCTGCCAAACCACAACAACTTTGATAATATCCCTTTAAATAAAATGAAAAAGCATATCCAACTTTTGCTTACTTGGTCCATGCTCTCTGGAATAAACTCTCCTTCACTGTTGATACTGGTGAATGACCCATTGCGGGCAACTTGATGTAATTCATCTGGAATGTATCCTGGGGGAGGGGAGCTTTGCTCTCTACTAGTGGGACCTCAAAGAAGAAAATTGTATGATTTTATAAATATAAGCATGGAATCAATTTTTGTTTTAATTAAATATACACACAGAATTTCTAGGCTATACTACCAACAATTTTAGCAACTGAAACCCAGTTTTTATTAAAACTTATCAAAACATTCAGGTCTGTAAAACTTCAAATATGTTTATACTGTTCTAAACCCCCACCCTACTATAACTATTAATCTCACTGTAATATTAATTTAGACTTATTAGGTGGTATGTTCTTTTGACTGCTGACAACTGTATTGTGGGGTTGATAATAATAAAATAAGGATTCTTAGGTAAATGTCACTGCTTCTAAATTTCCAGGTCACTTGTACCCAGGTATATTACCCCTCAATGTAATTTATGGAAGGCGTCATGATGTAGTAGAAAGAATACTGCATGGGATTTAGAGTCAGACCTATGTTTAAGTGTCAATTCTAGTTATTTATCAGCTATATGTTTTTGCAAAAGTTATCCAATCTTCAGAAACCTGTGAACATGGGACTATTGTGATTATAAAATTATTATTCATAATGAACATGTGCTAATGCACATTTGGCTCTAAGATTTTCTTTCTGTTCCCTCTCTTTAACCTTTAGAAATATATGAGATGACTTCTTAACCAGTTAGCCCAGATTAGTGTTTTCAATTTGGAATCCTAGATTAAATTCTTGGGTACTTAAAATTAGGTACTATTTTTTGAGGCAAGCCATGTTCCTGAATGTATACTTCTTCACAGTTCAGAAAATCAAACTAGTATAGTTCATCTAATTAATCACTTAATTTCTTATTAGACAATAATCCACTTTATTTTTACCTTGTACAGAAATAAAGTTTCTCTCCTTTGCTCCTAACTTTTTTAGATTAAACTATAAAAAGCATATGGGGAAGATATATCAGCATTTAAAGATTTATTTTATAAAAAAAGGTTTTGCCTTACATAAAGGGGCCATTTTAAGTACATGCCAGTATTTGTTAGTGATGAAATAGGGAGAAAAAAATAAAATAGTTACCAAGAGATGTGCATAAATGAGATAATTTTCTATACTTGACTCTAAAATGATTAGGAATTCTACTGTAAGCTAGGGGTTGATTTGGGCTTTTTAACAACTATGATCACACTGTCCCTAATATTGTTATTCCTTTCATATACCCTTGATTATAAAAGAAGACCAACATATTCATTACTTAAGGAGATAGGAAAGAAAAAGGACTATGAAGCTTTCTTCATCTCCTTACTTAATAATTCATTTTTCTTAACTTTTGTTAGTAATGAGTATGCCAATATACTGTTGGTCAAAACCTCCATAACAGCATAGGTTCCCATCCCAAAGTAAGTTTTTCCTCTAGCTATCTTTTATGATAATAATTAAAGGAACTAATTGTTTGTAAGTAAAGAAAAAGATAGTGGTCATATCGATCAAAGCCATTCCAAGTTTAAAGATGTTCCAATAAAAAAACAGTAATTGGTTGGGGAGATATAGGGGGTAAATGCAGACAACTGTACTTGAATAACAATCAAATACTTTTTTAAAAAAAGAAAAGAAAAACCAGTAATTGTATACTTTACAATTTCTAGTTTCTTCTTATGCTAGCAGTGAAGTCAAACAAGAGACATTCAATACAATTTTAACTCAAAATTAATTTAAAATGTCAATTTAACTAGTGTATTTAGCTTTTCTGCCTAATGTAACTAAAACAAACTGGAAATTTCTTACTTTAAAATGATAATTATTGTAAGAAAAGGAAAGAAAAAAGGAAATGTTAATTAATAATAGCCAAAAATAGTCATGCTTTCTGGTTTGAAAAATGAAATGCACTTTAAAAATATTCTCTCAATTTATTGCTACAACTATCCCATGATTTAAAGATGTAGGCAAAGTTACTGATCTTAGGTTAATTGGAGAGCTGGAATTAGAATTCAGGTATTCCTACTGTTCTTTCACCAAAACTTTATATAAAAATATATCCAAATGAAGACAGGCTATTTTTATTTTACTTGTATATTATCTCCACTGCTCACAATTTCAGCATTTCTGAAAACAAAACCAGGACTCATTAAAGACTAATGCTTAGAAGGAAATAGTCATGAAATAGCTTTTTCTGGGGACCAAAACAGAAGATAAAAACCAATTTTTCTTGGTGGCTCATGTGTTAATTTAACCTTTTCTTTCATTATTAACAATCTTTTCTATTGTCAATCATCTCTTACTTTGTCATACTCTCCTGCTTCCTCCCTATTCATCTGTCTCCCCTCCTGTTCGACTTCTCATATGTTTACATGCTATTTTTAATGACCATATTCACTGCCCAATCTGTTAAAAACATTTAGACCAGTGGCTTTTAAGCAATGTGATGCCCTTATAATATAAAAATACATTATCAATGTTTGATAAAAATTGAACACTGGGGAGTTCAGAGCACCTCTGCCCAGCCCATGCCCTTTTAATAGGCCTCCTTTAAAACACAATGGCACACAGTATCCACTTCTCTTTATCCACAAGCTTAATTATAACAGTATATTATTAATAAGAAATCAAAACTAGATACTAATAAGTAAAGCATAATCTGGACATTCTTATCACTCTTCACTTTAATAACATTCTTTTTCTAAGTATATTTTATTGATTTTGCTATTGCAGCTGCCCCAATTTTTTTCTCCCCTTTATCCCCCCTCTGCTCCATACACCCCCATCCTCCAGCATCCCCACCCTTAGTTCATGGCCATGGGTTGTACATATAAGTTCTTTGGCTGCTTCATTTCCTATACTGTTCTTAACTTCCCCCCGTCTATTTTATGCCTACAAATTATGCCTCTTATTCCCTATACCTTTCGCCCTCATTCTCCCCATCCCCACTGATAATCTTCCATGTGATCTCCATTTCTGTGATTCTGTTCCTGTTCCAGTTGGTTGCTTAGTTTTTGTTTTTGTTTTTTAGGTTCAGTTGTTGATAGCTGCGCATTTTTTGTCATCTAACTGTTCATAGTTTTGATCTTTTTCTTAGAGAAGTCCCTTTAACATTTCATAAAATAAGGGCTTAGTGATGATGAACTCCTTTAACTTGACCTTATCTGGTCCTCCCATTCTAAATGATAGTTTTGCTAGATAAAGTAACCTTGGCTGTAGGTCCCTACCGTTCATGACTTTGAATACTTCTTTCCAGCCCCTTCTTGCCTACAAGGTTTCTTTTGAGAAATCAGCTGATAGTCTTATGGGAACTCTTTGTAGGTAACTGTCTCCTTTCCTCTTGCTGCTTTTAAGATTCTCTCTTTATCTTTAATCTTGGGTAAGTTAATGATGATTGCCTTGGTGTTTTCCTCCTTGGGTCCAATTTCCTTGGGACTCTCTGGGTTTCCTGTACTTCCTGGAAGTCTATTTCCTTCACCAGATTGAGGAAGTTCTCCTCTACTTGTTCAAATCAGTTTTCAGTTTCTTGCTCTTCCTCTTCTCCTTCTGGCACCCCTATGATTCAGATGTTGGAGTGCTTGAGGTTATCCTAGAGGTTCCTCAGCCTCTCCTCCTTTTTTTGAATTCTTGTATCTTCATTCTGTTCCATTTAGATGTTTATTTCTTCCTTGTCTTCCAAATCATTGATCTGAGCCCTGGTTTCCTACCCTTCACTGTTGGTTCCCTGTATATTTTGCTTTATTTCACTTTGGGTAGCCTCCATTTCTTCCCTCATTTTGCGACCAAGCTCAATCAGTTCTGTGGGCATCTTGATTACCAATATTTTGAACTTTGCATGAGATAGGTTATCTATCTCCTTACTGCTTAGCTCTTTTTCTGGAATTTTGATCTGTTCTTTCATTTGGACCATATTTTTTTTTGTCTCAGTGCACCTGTTAAGTTGTTATGGGGTGGGGCCTTAGGTATTCACCAGAGCAGGGCAACCCTTTTTGCTGTGTTGTGGTGCTGTCTGTGGGGGAGGGGTCAGAGACGGAACAATGCTTCTCGCTTGCTCAGCTCTGGCCCCACTTTCCAAAGAACTCTCCTGTGAGACTAAGAGTTTCTTCTACCTTCACAACCCTCAGTTTTTGAATCTAGAGGTTTTGAGTCTTTAGTTTCCTGGTGAGCCAGCCCCTCCTTGCCCGGGGGATACACCACCTTACCACAGGTCCTCTCCAACCACCCTGCTGCCGGTCTGACCATCTCCGCCCCTCCCACCATTCTGGATGAATGTTTCTTTAACTCCTTGGTTGTCGGAGTTCCATGCAGGTTGCTATTCTGGCAGTTCTGGTTTATTGTTTTTAAATTGGCTGTTATCCTTCTTTTGGTTATGGGAGGAAGCAAGTATTTCTACCTATGCCTCCACCTTGGCTGGAATCCCTTAATAACATTCCTGACATTAACTAAAAACTTAGAGAAAGGCTTATGAACATAATCCATCAATTTTAATGTATTAAAATACTTTTTTAAATTTCTTCTCTTCAGTTTATTCATATAGTTAAAATTCCTTTGAATAATTTGAATTTGTTCAACATGAAATTACCCTCAAGGTACATAAAGAAAAAAAATTTAAATTAGAGAATGCTAATCCTGTAATACTTGACATAATTTTTCAAGGAATATCAGATACTAGAACATAGTTAACTGAGATCAATTACAGAGAGTATGGACATAGGCTGCTATTTTTCAGGGGTATGTTTAGATTACATAAAAGGATAGAGAAGACACTGAGAAATCACCTATTTCATGATTCAGACACTAGCTTTCTTACCTATTATAGGATGCCGTTTTTTCTTCTCTGCTCCAAATACTGTGTTATCCAAATCATCTAGTGATGGCAATGGTTCTAAATTAGTAGCCTACAGAGGAAAAAGGATAATTAATGCTAATCTTCCCCTTTAAGGCTTTAAATAGAATCCTCTCCCCTATTAAAAACTACCTAGATATTCTATGTTGTTTGTGAGTCTTACCAAACCTACTCTTTGAAATTTTAACATAATTTTTCCCAACTTCTCAGTTTCTCCTAGTTTCATATGTACAATATATTATACTTGTAGTTTTAGCTATATAGTTTTGAGGAGCAAGGATATTAAACTATAGTTACAATGAGTAAATTTTCATTTAATCATACTGAAATATATCAGTGATTAACGAATGTAGCCATATTTTATATATTGACTTTTAGAGGCATAAATCCTATAATCCTTACTGGAAAAAATTCCAATTCATACCTGTGTACTTCCATTTATTACAAGTAATATCTTGAGGCTCTTCATATGAACACTACGATCCAGTAGTTCCACAGCTTTGTCCAAATCATCTTGAGTAGTTAATGGAATTACCAACTAAATAGAAAGGAATATTAGGAATCATTTAGGAATCATACAGCCATCTCACCAGGTCAAGTCCTTCCAGGAACATCTCCATTACTATGGAGTTATAACACAACTCTCAAAATACCTTTCTCTTTTATTTGTGAGTATAATAAAATTCTAAAGAAATAAATACATATAGATAGATTGTCTTGCTCTTTTTATCCTACCCCACAAAAATCATAGAATAAAAATGAACACTTTTTTGTTTTATTAATCATTAAATTCTTCTAGAAAACTCATTTAAAAATTAATTTTCTAGGGTATTTCTATAATATTGCTAAACTTAAGTTAAAGTATCGTCACTCCAAAACAGCATTAAGGAATACACACAAGTTATATAAAATAACTTCAATAAGATGAAAGGTGGTACCTTTCATCTGCACTGATGGAACTTCTAATTGTTTTTTTTTTTTCAATTGTAACCATGGATTTACATTCTCACTGGGTGTGCTTACCAACATACCAAATACAATGAGCATCTGTGACAGCTGCAATGGAGGGGCTCATATCCCTAAACCTGGTGACTTGACCACTACACTCTAAACAAACACAAGCTAAGTCAGTCAGCCATCCCACAGTGAATTCTCAATGTGGAAATCTGCTTTCATTAGTCTTCTGTATTATATAAAACAAAACCACCTGGGATGTATATGAGGACTAACATGATTCACCCAATTTAACAAAATCAAAATATCTTTTTATTTTTTTAAAAAAATGTAAACTTAGTAGCATAAGATGATGTTTTCAATAACCTTCAAAGTACATATTCCATTTCATTAAAAGAAGAACACTATAAAAACAAGTGAACATATCCCAACTTAGCCTGCACAGTATATAAGCCATTCAAATGTAAAGGTCTACTTAGTTCTGTGTCCTCTACAGTATAAATATCTTGAAGACATGAACACTCCCACCCACATACTGCACATACCAGCAATTAACGCAGGGAACACTGAAAAGCAAACACTTGCTAAATGCTGTTTAATAAGTATGATAGGGTGAAAGCTTCATTTGCACCCAAGCCCACTAGCTGACATGACAGATTTCTTTAGGAAGAAAACTCCTTGTTTTAAGAAAGTCTGCTAGACACAAATACAGCAGATCCTGATGCACAGGAACCTAATTCTTGTTTATATTAATTAGCCTACCATAAAACTGGTTGCATTACATATTATTTCGTTGGAAGTTGCAGAACCTGTCAACGCTGTTGAGAACTCACTATATCAAGCAGGACTAATAAGAATTCCATCATACAATCTGCTTATGTTTACTTCATTTGTGCTTGAAATTATATTCCCAATTTCTGTGTGTAGCTAATTTTATATATTACAACTTATCAACTAACCAGACCCTTTTTTCTAATAATGAAAAAAATTAACTGTTTGATATAGAATAAGCCTGATCTACTTATTTTCATTATTCTATCAATTAAGAACCCTATTGTTACATTGTGTTCCTATGTTTAATATTATTTTTTATTATATTTAAGCACTAGAAAAGATTTTTATAAAGAAATATTAAAGATTGTTTTTGCCAGTTTTTCATTTGATGGAAAAACCTGAATATTTACTTTTACTACAAGTTTATTTATCATTGGAATGTTATTTCCAAGATAGGTTGCTCTAGGGGAAAGATACTAGTTTAAATCACAGTAACAAATTATGAAGGAAAGTGGTTTTGCTCTTCAGCTTGCAAACATGAAATCTTGACATTCTAGAGCAGTGCATGGAGCAGTAGCTTGGACTACTACTGCCTATGGTTTTCATGTGATCCCTCGTATGTTTTAAGGTCACCTATTACAAATTTTAAAACAAATCCCTGCTTGTCTAAATCATACTAAATAAATCGCACAGTGTTTTCCTGCTTCATGAATTCATTTTAGCCTCATTCATGAAACTGATTTCCCTCTGGCTTATTATTGATAAATCAGTGGTGTCTTAATATAAATCCCTTCTGGAAAGGAAACTAAAACTGAGTCCAAAAACCCACCAAATAAAACCTAAATTTGAAAGAAGTGGCTTATCTTCCTGACATAGAGAAACACAAAAATAGCCCATAAGGAAACCAAAAAGGTTTCCTTCCTCTACCCATCTAAAATGGAAACGAGCTTAAAAATCCACGTACTTTCCATGCACCACCACATCTATCCCCCATGACAAGGCACACACAGACATATACACCTCACACTTCATTATATAAACAGGAACATTAACGAACAAATCCAATCAATTCTAGCTTAAATTTCCTGGTTGGTTCCATTCTGGAAAGTTAGAAGTTTATAGAATGGTTCTTTTGGAAGAAAATGTATATTACATTAGAAAACAATATTATAGAACTGGAATAACAAGCAATAAATATGTTTTTTTTTGCTTGTCAATGGGCCCATAAAACTAACACCTCTAATAAGTTTGTTACTAGTATCTCCAATGACAAAAGGCATGCATTAAGTTAGTCGTGATGTGAATTAGGGCACGATTAATTCACAAATTCACAAATTCTCACAGAATCTCTATGCTGAAAGAAATTTTAAAGAATGTAATCTCACCCTAATGCCTCCTCTACCATATTCCTGCCCAAAAGCTACCCAGATATAATGGCTGAACCATTCCCAGAAATTCTTCAGAAAGTTTGAGGGGGAAAAAAATGGAAAAAATTTTCCTATTTTCAGAAAACAGAAGAGAGTTCCTAAAACAACAGGTCAATTAGCTTGATGTCATCAATCCTCAAGAACACCCTACAAAAATTATATGAACTAAGGACTCCAAAATGCAACAGTAATTCTAAGAATAAGAACAGACACAGTAAGAACAAATAATGTCAAACTAACATCATTTTTCTTGACATACTTGGCTGGTAAATTAAGACAATATTGTAGTCTTAATGTATCTTGGTATTTGAAAGGTTTCTATAATACAATTTTTTAGGTATGTTTTATTGATTAGCTATTACACTTGTCCCAATTTTTCCCACTTTGGCCCCCTCTCCAGCAATCCCTTCCTATAGTGTATGTCCATGTGTCATGCATATAAGTTCTTTGGCTTCTCCATTTCCTATACTGTTCTTAACATCCCCCTATTATGTACCTACTAATTATGCTTCTTATTCCCTGTACCTTTACCCCAATTCTCCTCCTTCCCCCTCCCCCCTAATAATTCTCCAGGTGATCTCCATATCTATGATTCTGTTCCTGTTCTGGTTGTTTGGTTAGTTTGTTTTTGTTTTTTTAGATTCAGTTGTTGCTAGTTGTGAGTCTGTTGTCATTCTAATGTTAATAGTTTTCATCTTCTTTTTCTTAAATGAGTCCCTTTAACATTTCATATAATAATGGCTTGGTGACAATGAATTCCTTTAGCTTTACCTTGGCTGGGAAACATGTTATCTGCCCTTCAATTCTAAATGATAGCTCTGCTGAATAGAGCAATCTTAGTTGTAGGTCCTTGCTTTTCATCACTTTAAATACTTCTTGCCAGTACCTTCTTGCCTGCAAAGTTTCTTTTGAGAAATCAGCTAATAGTCTGATGAGAACTCCTTTGTAGATAACTCTCTGCTTTTCTCTTGCTGCTTTTAAGATTCTCTCTTTATCTTTAACCTTTAGCCTTTTGATTATGATGTGTCTTGGTGGGTCCTCTTTGAGTCCAACTTGTTTGGGACTCTCTGTACTTCCTGGACTTGTATGTCTATTTCCTCTGCCAAATTAGGGAAGTCTTCTTTCATTACTTTTTCAAATAAATTTTCAATTTCTTGCTCTTCCTCTTTTCCTTCTGGCATCCCTATGATTTGGATGTTGGCACATTAGGAGATGTCCAACAGTCTTCCTATTCTCTCCTTGTTTTTTTTTAATTCTCGTTTCTTCATTTTGTTCTGGTTGAATGTTTATTTCTTCCTTATGTTCCAATTTGCTGATTTGAACCCTGGCTTCCTTCTCTTCACTGTTGGTACCCTGTGAATTTTTCTTTATTTCATTTATAGTGTAGCCTTCATTTCTTCACTTATACTTTTGCCACTCTCAATGAGATCTTTAAGTATCCTTATCACCAGTGTTTTAAACTCTGCATCTCATAGGTCAGCTGTCTCCATTTCACTTAATTCTTTTACTGGGGTTTTGTTCTGTTCTTTCATTTGAGCCATATTTCTTTGTCTCCTCAATTTGGCAGCTTCCCTATGTTTATTTCTGTATATTAGGTAGAGCTGCTTTGACTCCCTGTCTTGACGTATCCATTACAAGGTGAAGCCTTAAGTAATCGCCATGGCAGGGGCAGCCCACCTCAGGGCTTTGTGCCCTTGTATGTGGGGGAGGGGTCAGAGAGGGAACAATGCAACTGCCTGACTGCTGGAGGCTTGACTGGCACTCGCCCCAATTCCAGTCATTTATGCGTCTGGCACCTCTCTAGCTGTTGCTCTGTTGGTGATTCCCAGAGTTACATACATTCTAGAACCCTGCAGGCCCTTTAAATGGACTCTCCTGAGAAGCAGGCAGTTTCTTCCACTGCCCAAACTCCCACTGGCTTTTATACCAAGAATTATGAGGCTTTATTTTCCTGGTATTAGAACCCTGAGCTCCACAGTCTGGCCTGGGGCTCGCTCCCCAAGTATCCCTAATGTGGGACCTTTTGTTCTGCTGGCTGCTGCTGCTACCTGGTTACCACACCACACCAAGTCCTCTCCACCGTGGATCCCTGTCTCCATTCCTTCTACCCATCTAGATGAATATGTCTTCTTTAAATCCTTGGTTGTTGGACTTCCAAACAGTTCAATTTTCTGGCTGTTCTGGGTGTTTTGTGTTTTAGGTTAATTGTAATCCATCTTATAGTTGTGGCAAGGAGGCAAAGCATGTCTGCCCACGCCTCTGTGTAGACTGGAAGTCTCTATGATACAATTTCAGAACGAACAAAAACATGCCTTGACCGGTTTGGCTCAGTTGGCTTAGCTTATCCCATAAAGCAAAGGTCACCAGTGCAATCCTCAGTCAGAGCACACACCTCAGTTGTAGGCCAGGTCCCCGGCTGGGGATATGCAAGAAGCAACCAATCAATGTTTCTCTAGAACATGATGTTTCTCTCCTTTTCTCCCTCCCTTCCCCTCTCTCTCAAATTAAATGAATAGACCCTCAGTCAAGATGAAGGCGTAAGTAGATATATTTTGCCTCTCACACAACCGAAAGGATGACAACAATAAATTTAAAAACAAAAATAACTACAACTGCCAGAAAATCAAACTGTGTGGAAGTCTGGCAACCAAGAAGTTAAAGAAACATTCACCCAGACTGGTAGCAGAGGCAGAGACAGGTAGCTGGGAAGGAGAGGACTCGCAACAAAGAGGCAGCTGATAGAGCGGGCCAATAAACCGGGAGTAACAACTAGGAAGTGAGACAGACAGTGCAACCCAGGATTCCAGTTCAGGGAAATAAAGCCTCAAAACCTTTGACTGAAAAAAAAAACTGTGGGGGTTGAGGAGGCAGGAGAAATCCCCACCTTCACATGAGAGTTCATTGGAGAGACCCACAGGGTCCTAGAACATACACCAAACCACCCCACTGGGAACCAGCACAAGAAGAGCCCAATTTGCTTCTTGGAAGTGGGGGAAGTGACTGAAGCCAACCAAGAGCCAAGGAGGTGGCACTGTTCTCTTTATGACCCTCCCTCACATATAGTGCCACAACACCACCATGTGGGTTGCCCCACCATGGCAAATACCTAAGGCTCCACCCCTTAGTACGTAACAGGTTTGCTGAGACAAAAATATATGGCCCAAATGAAAGAACAGATCAAAGCTCTAGAAAACATAAAACTAAGCGATGAAGAGATAGGCAACCTAACAGACGCAGAGTTCAAAACACTGGTAATCAGGAGGCTCACAGAAATGGTTCAGTACAGTTGTAAAATAGAGGAAGACGTGAAGGCTATGAAAAGTGAAATAAAGGAAAATGTACAGGGAACCAAAGTGAAGCAAAGAATACCAGGACTCAAATCAGTGATTTGGAGCAGAAGGCAGAAATAAACATTCAATCAGAACAGAATGAAGAAACAAGAATTTAAAAAAAACAAGGAGAGTCTTAGGAACCTCCAGGACAACTCTAAATGTTCCAACATCCAAATCACAGGGGTGCCAGAAAGAGAAAAGGAAGAGCAAGATACTGAAAACTTGTTTGAAATAATAGTGAAGGAGAACTTCCCTAATCTGGCAAAGGAAATAGACTTCCAGGAAGTTTAGGAAGTTCAGAGAGTCCCAAAGAAGTTGGACCCAAGGAAGCACACACTGAGGCACATCACCATTACATTACCCAAGATTAAAGAGGAGAGAATCTTAAAAGCAGCAAGAGGAAAGGAGACAGTTACTTACAAAGGAGTTCCCATAAGACTATCATCAGCTGATTTTGAGAAAGAAAACTTGTAGGCAAGAAGGGGCTGGAAAGAAGTATTCCAAGTCATGAAAGACAAGGACCTACATCCAAGGTTACTCTATCCAGCAAAGCTATCATTTAGAATGGGAGGGTAGATAGAGTGCTTTCCAGATAAGGTCAAGTTAAAAGGAGTTCATCATCACCAAGCCCTTATTATATGAAATGTTAAAGGGACTTCTCTAAGAAAAAGAAGATCAAAAATACGAACAAACAGTAAAATGATGACAAACACAACTATCAACAGCCAAACCTAAAAAAAAAAATGAAATAAGCAAACAAACAAAATAGGAACACATTCACAGAAATAGAGATCATATGGAGGGTTATCAGTGGGTATGGGGCTGGGGGAGAATGGGAAAAAAGGTACAGGGAATAAGCAGCATAAATGGTAGGTCCAAAATAGACAGGGGGAGGTTAAGAATAGTATGGGAAATGGAAAAATTAAGTAACTTAAATTTTTGACCCATAGACATGGACTAAGGTGGGGGAATGATGGTGGAAGGGGTTGTAGGGCAGAGCGGAATAAAGGAGAGAAATAAATCGGGCAACTGTAATAGCATAATCAATAAAGTATTTTTATAAATAAAAATAAATGACTAAATGTTTTAAAAATAAAGAGACAAAGATGGATCCGGATTTCCCTAGAATCATACTATAAGTAAAAGATTCAAGTTCAAGGCCGTTATATGGAAAGATACACCAGGAAACATTGGGAGGGAAATGGGGAAGACAGGGAAGAGAAGGAGACCCAAAAAGGGAATATTATCTAGCAAGTTACCACTGTGGGTAAGCACAGCCTATCCATCCCCAGCTCTTACCACATTCTTAATATACAGTTCAGCCTAGTTCCTATCCATACCCTTGAAAAGCCATCAGAGTCTCAAAGGCTGGCAGTGGGAAATCAGGCCAGTGCAAACAGATTGAGTACCAAGACAGGGTGAGGCAAAAAGATGCATTCGTGGCTAAAAGAATAGCCAAAAAGTATTCGAAATCTAAAATTTTAAGGTATTATTATATTATTGTTCTCATCACTTTGTTCAGGTATATTATTTTTTTGGAAATGGATTTTTAATCAACGTATTTTCTGTTTTTGGCTGTGTTTCTTTAGTCAAGCTACATAAGTATATTTTTTGCTTTAAATTAATAATTCATTTGAAAACCTAATATTTACAAATATTTTTATGTGTACAATGCTTTAACATCTAACAAAGCAATTTCACATATATTCTAAAATTAATTTTTCCTAAGCTTTCTACTGTCACTCTATTCCCACTGGTACTTTTTCTATTCCTGAAATACAGAAGTCTTTTCTATGATAGGACCTCTGCACTGGTTTCAAGCTTCTTTCTCTACCAAGCACATCCTTTCCCTCAAATTCTTTGCAGCATTGGCTTTTCAAACTTCAAGTCTCAGTAATTAAAAATTACCACCTCAGTTAGCTCTTTCTTAGTACTATCTAAATAGAAGACCTACTGCCCTTCCCTTTATTCTTTATCACAATACTTCATGCATTTCCTTCAAAGAACTTAATATATTGAAACAACTCTTTTATCAATCATCTGCTTCTACTACTACAAGTCTATAAATTCCATGAGGGGCTGCAATTCCTAAATCATAGCATTATGCCTGCCAAATTCAACAAGTATTTTCTGAGGGCATAAAAAAACAAAAACAAAAATAACAAAACAGTACAAATCAACAACTTAACAACATTATCCCTAAAAATTTTAAGATCTCAAAATCTTGAGATCTCACAGGATCTTAATGAAACCTGAGATATCATCTAATCCAATACAAATTTTACAGAAAGTTCAAAAGGAGTTTCCCCAGAACACAGAGCACCTCAGTGCCACAGGAAGTCCTTAAAATCCTGCACTGACCCCCAAATAGAAGCATGATCTAATGTCTTAAACCAACATGAAAACAATCCTATAAGTTTTAACTAAACTGTCTTACTACCAAAGCTCTATTGTCTCTGTAGTCAATAATGGAGTATAAGAAAACAAAGTTTATCAATAAAGTACATGAAGTAAAAATAAAACATAAATAAGCAGCAAACTTCTAAGTAATATACAAGGTCTGTCCAGAAAAAGTCCAGCCATTGTTAAATCACAAGAAAGGTTTGTACGACATCCAACGTAACCTGGCAGCCAAGGAGAGTGGACTGGAATGTGCATGCATGAACAATGATGACTTCACTGTACTAGTCAGTAGGGGTGGTAGACGCCACTGTGTGGGATGTGTACTGTGTGGCTGTTGCATTCAAAATGACTGAGTGAGTAAAGCAATGAATCTGCATCAAATTTTGCATTAAGCCTGCATGCTCCTCTGTGGAAACTATTCAGATGATTTAAGAGGTCACAGCTATAGGCAACTATAGCTGGTGACTGGCAGTTTCATTATGCAATACTCCTGCTCATGCATCACATCTTGTGTAGAGTTTTTTGGTGAAACGTCAAATCACCAAGATGACTCAGCCCTCCTATAGCCCAGATATGGCACCCTGCCACTTCTGGCTTTTTCCAAAACTAAAGTTACCTTTAAAAGGGAAGAAATTTAAGACCATCGATGAGATTCAGGAAAGTACAATGGGACATTGTATGGCGACTGGTAGAACTGTGTGAGGTCCCAAGATGCCTACTGTGAAGGGGACTGAGGCATCACTATCCTATGTACGATGTTTCTTGTATCTTCTGTTTTCTTCAATAAGTGTTTCTATTTTTCATATTATATGGCTGGATGCTTTCTACACAGGCTTTGAATATATTTCTTCCTTTTAATAGATTCTCATTCAATTATTTTCACCAGTAGTACCCTTTAATATTTTTGACAATGAAAAAATCCATTTTAATTAGTTCAAATTTACAAATTTAACTATGCTATATCATTTCTCTAATATACTATACCCTTATCAATCCCTAAATAAAAGCACAACAGTTCTAAAACAGTCTCTGAAATGAACACACTACTTTCTAAAATACGAACTACTTAAAGTTAAACTTTACATATTTACCTCATTATTGGTATAATGTAGATCCATAGACTGTCCAAAAGCAATTTTAGCTTTAGACCTCAGATCTTCCAGTTTAACTGGTCTGGGGAACTGAAGAATTCTGTATAAACAGAATTTTAAAATATTTTATTTTCTTAGGCATAGTTAAATTACATACTTGCAAGACTTATCTCTTGGAAAGAAAAATTAAAATTAAGTAAAAATGTAAATACTTACTTGAACACTACAACGGCTTACTTTTGATAAAGTGCACTGATTCTCAACATAAAGTTCAAAAACTCTGAAGTCTGTTCTATGCTAATAAAAATTATAATAAGGAAACTCAAAATTTTTAATTCTAGTTACTTCCTTCCTTTATCATAACAGATTGGCCTGTGTTGCCCCTGGGGAGCATGCACCTAAGCCTGGAGACTACTATACTGGACTATAATCTCTGTAAGGAAAAGGACCATCTGTTTCACTCATTTTATTTCTTCATGGCCCAGCAGATAGTAAGCACTCAATAAACAGTACTCCCTGAATGAAAAAAAAACTGTGAAAATATCCATAAAAGAATTGCAAATAGAAAAAAAGTAGATTGGACAACATTTGTATGGTATTATCTGGTATATTCCATTTTTAAAAAAATATCTGTGTAAAATATTTTTACATTTTAGGTTATGCAATTTGTGAGACTTTAAAGTCCTTAAAATAGACAGATCTTTCATTAAATTAATTTAATGAGACATGAATGACAAAAATGAAATCCCATATTCTGCAACTCCTATTAAGCTTGTCAGTAACACTGTTGTTAACCATTACCAACTACCTCCACTACTATACTAAGACAGATACCCAGAAGAAGACTAGGCGTACATCTCTGCTAAATAATTTATAGCCGTCATTCCAAATCACTTCTCTCAATGGTACTAATTAAATACATGTCATATCATTGAGGCCTCTTGAGAATAATCAAAATTGTGAATGTTAAGTCCACATACATAAATTCTGTACAGTATACGAAGCAATAATACAATTATAAGGAGAAATATATTTAATTTCCACTGATTAAAAATAAAAAGAAATGGTAATATTTAAAGGCTTCATTATGCAAAGATTTATTTCCTAATACTGCAAAGTAAAAACATTTATCATTTCCAATGTTTAGCATGAATTTTGACAGCTTCTATCTTAAGTCTATATACATTGTTACACATTACCAAGAATTATTCCATTCCCAATTTGTAAACCATGAACCTTCATTAAAATCTAGAAGGAACCTCCAGTAGCTTTAACTAGAATACACACTTAATTAAATCAATAATCTGAAATGCAATGCTTCTTTCCTTACCTTTTTTCTCCTCTATGTTCAAATTTGACTCGGACATCGTTCTGTAATGAAATGATAACCTCAGAAATCAAATGAATTTCTAGAATTCCTAAATCTTTTTCTTAGTCACTCATTTAAAGCAGAGTAGAAGGGGAAGGAGGTTTCATTTCAGTATTAACTCTAATAAATTGACAGGGTCTGCCAAAGAGCCAAGTTGAGAATTATGTAGCTGAATCTGGGATCAACAAAAAAGACCACCAAGATCTGTTAGTAATGGAATCATAAGTATGAGACATATGCTAGTCCTGTCAAAGGGAAATATAGGATAATGTATGTCCACTTTTCATGTCGCCACCCCAAACAAATTTTATCTGTAAGAATGAAAGTGATCCTTATTTGGAAATATACAGATTACTGTAAATAAAAACAATTTGCTTATCTTAAGTGCTTTACAAATGGATAGAATATCAGCTTTAGAAAGCAGTTACCACATTAAATGAAACTCTACCGTTTTTTTTTTAAATACACACCCTTTATGGAAAAAATTGTTCAACAAAATAATTGATTCAAAAGTATAAAAGCTGAACACTTTAAGCAAAACCTCTATAAGATCAGGATATTCAAGAAAAATAACTCACAGAACAATATAGATCTATTAAAATATTATTAAAACAAATACCTGCTTTTTTGGTGATAAAGATTTTGTTTTTCTGGTTTCCTGTAAGGATAATGCTGGTCGACTTGCCTTATGCAGAACAGCCAAATCTTGCATGATTGAGTTCAAAGCTTGCTGATCATCTAGATATTTTTAAAATAACATATTCAGAATTGTAATTTCAATGTGTATTTGCTATTGACATCCAACACAACGATGAAATTTAATGCAAAAAATGCATCTAAAACATGTTCAAAGACTACACTTCTGTTATTTTTGTGACATTAAATAGCACTAGACTCAAGCACTAGATATCGCACACATGAGACATTTACAGGCAAGATAAAGTCATTCTGTCTTAGACTGGTGTGGTTCAGTTGGTTGGGCATCATCTCGCAAAGTAAAAGTTCGCAAGTTCAATTCCCAGTCAGGGCACACACCTGGGTTTCAGGTTCAGTCCCTGTACAGGGTGCATAGAGGAGGTAACAGATGGATGTTTCTTTCTTACATCAATGTTTCTCCCTGTCTCCCTCCCTTCTCCTCTCTCTAAAAGTAAAAAAATAAAATCTTTTGTTTAAAAAAAGATACAGTTATTCTGCTTCTTCTATTATGTGACATCCTAGGATACGGGTCAAAACAGCCCTTTTAATTCTTTTCTATGACATGTGAACAAAACATCACAAGACATCTAAAATATTAATCTAGAAAAAGTGGCATGGGGGGATTAATATCAACATTACTTAAGCATTTATGTCCAAAGTATAAATTCCTCTTAGAGCTTTGTCTTTCGTCAGTACTTCAAGTCAGAAACAATAAAAGGCTTTACCTGTGGGTAATGACCTACTGACTTTATGAACTGTTTTCTTGAACTTCTTCACCATAAATTTCAGTAAAACTACAAACACTTAAGACTATTTAATGATCTCAGATAGGAACAGTTCAAATATTAACAATACAAGAAAAAATCCATTCCTAAGGGGGGGAAAAAAAAAACTAAACCCATAAAACTGAATGAAAGAATCATAAACCATTAAATTTTAATTTCTTCATTAGAAATGTCAATTATATGCTGTCTGGAAAACTTCAGAGAAAATGTAATTGCCTTTCACTAGTAAGTTAATTACACTAATAATAATCAATAATTGGTAAATAAAGGAATTGAGGGACTTTACAGCTTACATTTAAAAAAGTAAACCATCTTCGTGAGTAATAAATTTATGTTCCAGAGTAGTAATAATTTGTGTTCCAGTGCAGTGGCAATTAAAACATTCTTTATCTTGTAACGAAAAAATCATTAACAAGAATGTGGCTGTATCAGTCTTTCAAACACACAAATAGCTGACTTCTGTAATATACTAATTTTTTTGTAACACTCAATCTATTGTTATGTAGTAGAACTAAAATTAAAATTAATGGCTCCAAGGATTTTAATAATAAATTCTGGGTTTAGAGAAAATTTTATAACTAACCTTAATAAAATAAAATTTTATTTTGTTAGCTTAGCCAAAGAATAACAGAGCCAGTGGATAAAACATAATCACAACGTGTGTCCTGTCCATGGGTCCAAGCCAAACTATGTCATTTTTTTGATAAAAATAAATCTCCCCTCAGAAAAACAATTAGCTGAAAATGAGCTCAACTGGAATAAACTTATCTGATGTAACCTTCCTGAGAAAAGTAAGATCTTCAATTCTGCACTAGATGAGGGAAATTCTAATATTTAAACATATTTATGTTTTAATTATTTTCATTATTAGAAAATCTTAAACATGTGAATTTAGACATTATCATATGTTTAGTATCACAACACCAAAATAAATAAGTGCCTGGGAAGACTTTGGCCTAAATCCTTATCACATTTATAGATAATAATTTCCTTGTTTAAAAAAAAGTACCATTTTCTATCTATCGTACATATACAAAAGAGAAGCATTTGAATCAAAGTAACTCCTTAGAGAGATAACATACTAATAAAGAACAATTTAATTGAGTTCCTTCTTTTTCTGGCTTGACGAAGAATCACATGGTAGATAAATACCCAAGGGAAACTTACTTTGAGGGAACTGACAAGGTATAAGCTAATAAATCTACAAAACATCAAGCAAAGTGATAAGCTGAAATACACCATGAGCACTATTCTAACAATTCTAAAGACTGTTTATTAAGAACCTCATCCAGCCAAGATGGAAGCATAGGTATATATGCTTCACTTTGTCAGAAAACCAAAAGAAGGATAAAAAAACAATTTAAAAACAAAAACAACCAGAATTGGCAGAAAATCAAACTGTGTGGAAATCAGACAACCACAGAGTTAAGAAGAAACATTCACCCAGACTGTTAGGAGGGATGAAGACAGGCAGCCAGGGTGCAGAGGACACAGTAAGGTGGTGGTTGGTGAAACAAGGTGGGCAAGGCAGCAGCTGGCAGACTGAATGGTCCCACATTCACATATGGATAAACCCAGAGGAACAACTAGAGAGAGAGACAAACTGCAGAACACAGAGTTTCAGTGTGGGAAAATGAAGCCTCAAAATCTCTGGCTGTAAAAATCTGTGAATGTTGCAAAGGTGGGAGAAACTGCCAATCTCACAGGAGAGCCCACTGGAGGGGCCCACGAGGTCCTAGAATGTACATAAGCCCACCCACCCAGGAATCAGTACCAGAGCAGCCCCTTGAAGGGCACAATTCACTTGTGAGTAGCGGGGGAAGTGACTGAAAGTGGGGCAAGAGCCAAGTATCATTGTTCCCTCTCTGATGCCTCCCCCAGGTACAGAGCAAATTGGGTTGCCCCACCCTAGCAAATACCTAAGGCTCCACACCATAGACAAATAAATATGAGCCAAATGAAAGAACAGATCAAAATTCCAGAAAAAGAACTAAGTAATGAGGTGATAGCCAACCTATCAGATGCAGAGTTCAAAACACTGGTAATCAGGATTCGGACAGAAATGACTGAGTACAGATACAAAATAAAGAAAGTGAAGCCTATAAGAAGTGAAATAAAGAAAAACATACAGGGAACCAATAGTGAAGGGAAAGAAACCAAGACTCAAATCAATGATCTGAACAAAAGGAAGAAATAAACATTCAAACAGGCCAAAATGAAAAAACAAGAGTTCAAAAAAATGAGGAAAGGCTTAGGAACCTCTGGTACAACTTTAAACATTCCAACATCTGAATCATAAGGGAGTCAGAAAAAGATGAGGAAGAGCAAGAAATTGAAAACTTATTTGAAAAAATAATGGAGAACTTCCCCAATCTGGTGAAGGAAATAGATATACAAGTCCAGGAAACTCAATGAGTCCCAAACAAGTTGGACCCAAAGAAGACCACACCAAGACACATCATAATTAAATTACTGAAGATTAAAGATAAAGAGAGAATCTTAAAAGCAGCAAGACAAAAGGAGACAGTTACCCACAAAGGAGTTCCCATCAGACTATTAGCTGATTTCTCAAAAGAAACCTTGCAGGTAAGAAGCAGCTGGAAAGAAGTATTCAAGTCATGAAATTCAAGGACCTACATCCAAGATTCCTCTGTCCAGCAAAGCTTTCATTTAGAATGGAAAGGCAAATCAAGTGCTTCCCAGATAAAGTCAAGTTAAAGGAGTTCATCATTACCAAGTCTTTATTATATGAAATGTTAAAGGGACTTGTCTAAGAAATAGAAGAAGATCAAAAACTATGAACAGTAAAATTACAACAAGTTCACAACTATCAACAACTGAACCTAAAAAAACAAAAACAGACTAAGCAAACATCTAGAACAGAAACAGAATCACCGAAATGGAGATCACATGGAGGGTTATCAGTGGGAAGAGGGAGAATGGGGGAAAAGGTACAGAGAATAAGAAGCATAATTGGTAGGTACAAAATAGACAGGGGGAGGTTAAGAACAGTATAGGAAATGGAGAAACTAAAGAACTTATTTGTATGACCCATGGATATGAACTAAAGGGCAAGGGATACTGGAGGGAATGGGGGTAGAGGGAGATAAAGGGGAGGAAAAATTGGGACAATTGTAATAGCATAATCAACAAAGTACAGCTAAAAAAAGAGTCTCTTTGATGGTCATAGATACTAGGCAGATAAGACAGGTTATAAATGCTCTAAGGATCAAGAATTGATTCAACAGGCAGTATAGATGCCCAGAGGACTCCACAGTCTAACCAATAGTCACTTAGAAGAAGCAGTGAGTTTCTCACACATGTTGAAAGGACTTTTAGTTGAGCATAAAATCAGAAAGTATTTGGGAAACAATTTCAAATAAAATCTTTTACTAGACACATTTAATTAGATACCTTATATGTTTATTCATCATACTTAAAAAACAATTAGAGGAGAACATCCTCAATAAAAATTTCAAATATCTGCGATTTACATTTTAAAATATTCATGTTTTTCTATGACTACTTTGGTATATGTTTTAAGCAGTGGCTGTTCTTTGTTTTGTTACTTACTGTAGTATTATTTGAGAAGTATGGTGGAAATCAATTTAATACACAGTTCAGACTGCAAGTAAGAGTAACCAAAACAAAAAATTGATAGGAGTTCAGTAAAAAAAATATACCCAATTTGAAGCTGACAAAAGTGAAGAATTTGGACCAATGATGGCACTACATTCATGGTTACAAAGACAAAGTGGAAATTTAAAAAGTAGGAAAAGTGACACTTTGGCTTACATACTTCCTTAAGTAAACACTTTGAAAGTGTGCTAGCACTTTCATTAAAGAACATAGACAAAGTTAAGCCCTTTGGCTATAATGTTATATACATATGTAATAGTAATACATTTGTTAAGCAAGTAGTAGGAAAAGTGTGACTAACACAAACATAGGCATATATACATCTGACTTAAGATATAGGTATAAATCTAAGTTTAAAAACTTTGCTTGGATGGATGGGCCATTCACTCCATTTCTTTCTAGTGCTTCCCTGTTCAATCCCTTATTCACAATGTAATCCACAACTCCAAGGAGAAAAGAAAAAAAAGGTAAAGAAGAGAAACTGATATGTAAACCAAACACCCACAATCCATTTCCATTCTTTAGCTTGTCTTTCCATTAACATTATAATATCAAATATTCACAAAAACTGTAAAATATACACTCTCTGAGTGCCAATTATTTGCTGCTCTATTATAAAATTTTATAATTTATTATTTTTATGGTATTTTCTTTATCTATTGCTGGGTAATTAGAACAATAATTTCTTCAGCATTCTTTCAATCTATAAAAGTTCAGGGGGAAAGGGGAAGGGTTTGCATGAACAAGTATAAAGGACACATGGACAATAACATGGGGGGTGGAAACAGGAGTGAGGTGGGGAGGGCGGTGGGGGCTGAGATGGGGTAAAAGGCAGAAAACTGTACTTGAACAACAATTAAAATTTTAAAAAAGAAAGTCAGGTTTATTTACAAATATCTTTCTGGCCATCAGACTCTTAGAAAATCCATCTTAACAGTTTATTTTGAATGTCTCTTCAATGGCCTGCATTATTAAATGGTCATTTCAAAACTGTAACAATGTAAGTAAGAGGTATTTTAACTGAAAATCTGTACGTAAATATAAAACATTACATAAATCTATATTATAAAATTTCTTTTTTATCTTTATTATTACTTTTTCAATGATAGTTTACATTCAATATTATTTTATATTAGTTTCAGGCATACAACATAGTAGTTAGAGAGTCATATACCTCATAAAGTGTTCCCCCTGATATTTCCAGTACACAAATGGCACCATACATAGTTATTACAATATTAATGACTATAGTTCCTATGCTATACTTTAATCCCCATGACTATTTTGTAACTACCAATCTGTACTTCTCAATTCCTCACCTTTTACACCCAGTTCCCCAACCTCCCTCCCCTCTGGCAGGCATCAGTCTGTTTTCTACACTTATGACTCTGATTTTTATTTGTTCATTTATATTGTTCTTTAAATTCCACATATAAGTAAAAAAATATGGCATTTGGCTTTGTCTGACTGGTTTATTTCACTTAGCATAATACCCTCTTGGTCCATCCATGCTATTGCAAATGGTAAGATTTCATTTTTTAAGTCCAAGTACTATTCCATTGTATGTATGTATTGGGTTGGCCAAACAGTCCATTTAGTATTTTTCCATAAAATAAAAGACACATTTTTCATTTTCACCTATAACTTTATTAATCTGGATATTTTGAGTATGTTGTCTATCTCCCGCTATTGGCTTCCAGTGGGTAGAGGCCAGGTGTGCTACTAAACACATTCCAGTGCATAAGACAGCCAGCCCCACAGTGAAGAATTGTTTGGCCAAAATGTCAATAGTACCAAGAAACTTTGCAAACCACTTCTGATATATTTGATAAGTCACAGCAGCTTCTCCATGCACAGCATAAAGATGCAAATCTTTCTTTGCATTTGTTGTATTTTTACCTTTCTTGAAATAATAAAGAATGATATGCCAAAAATCTTGCTTATTTTCTTCCATCTTCAATATTAAAATGGCTACACAGAAATTCACTAATTTTGATTTTTTAAAAATGCATACTGACATGATAGCTGTCATAATACAATCTAACAAAATTGTTTCAAATGAAGTCAAAAACAGCTAAGCACTACTGGAGCCATCTTTTTGGCCAACCCTGCACCACAGCTTTTTTACCCACTTGTTTACTGACAGGCACTTGGGTCACTTTCAGAACTTGTCTATTGTAAATAATGCTACAGTGAACATAGGGGTGCATATATTCTTTCAAATTAGTGTTTTGGGTTTCTTTGACTATATACCCATAAGTAGAATTGCTGGGTCATAAAGCAGTTCCATTTTAAAATATTTGAAAGCCTTCCATACTGTTTTCCATAGTGGTTGCAAGTTTATCATGAACACAGAGAAAAAAATTTGCCCCCATTTTATCCTTTAATTATAGACAAAATATTCTTTTAAATTAAACTCACCCATCATGGCAAACCAGGTCAACAATCTGGAAATTAGGGAAATGGTTCTCCCATCAGCATTCTTTACTACCTTAGGAGGTTAAAAGAAAAACCATTAATAATAATAAGAGACAAAAGAGGCAGACACACACACAAATACCAATGAGAAACACAATATTAGTATTTCATGCATCTTGTTGAGGACAGGTCCTTTATTTTTCCCACTCAATTATTGAGAATGAAGGAAAAAATCACTATTATTTTATATTGAATTTAACTCAGTGTTTTTCACATTCCTGTCTATGAAAGCTTAAAAAAAAAAAAGAACTTTTGAAAGTCAAAAACCTTAGGAGACAATCCAATAAACTCAAATTCCTACAGGGCAATGGCAGAGATAAGTAAAAAGAGTCTAGGACATCAACAACAAAAAAAAAAACCAGTAAAGACTTACCAAAATTCTCCCTTCCATAAGAGAAAAAAAGGTCAGGATCAATTTTATCAGAACTCTGAAATTAACCAAAGGCTAGCAGGAGCAGCAATCTAGGCAGCATTTAATTATCTCAATAAAAAGAGACAGCCTTGTTGTGTTCTGATCCTTCCTATTTCTATCACCCTGCCCTTCATTCCCAGCTTCAAAGTAGCAGTTAAACCAATAGCCTACATGCACCATGGAAATGAGCAGCCTGGAAGCCACAAGAGAGGACAGATGGGTCAGAAATACCTTCAAAGTCCAAGTCTCCCAAAATTATCATTAATTGACCTATCTAGTGGTTGGATGGTAGGCCCCACCTGAAACACTGTCGTTATTTAATCTGACTCAAAGCTCTTACAGTGCAAAACGCTTGAGGTGTTTGTCAAAACCAATCAGGTAGTTATTGAATTATTTCAAATGTCTAAGGAAGGGGAAAACAGTTGGGGGCAAAACAACAGATTAAGAAAAAACAATTTTTTTAGGAATGCTGAGGAATGACATGTCAACAGAAAACTTTTGAGAATCTACAACAGGTTTCTGGGGATATTCAAGTCAAACAGGGGAATGAATAAACAAACCGAGGGATATCTAGACAATGAAATATTTATTCAGTGATAAAGAGAACTGAACTATCAAGCCACAGAAAGACATGGATGAGTCTTAAATGTGTATTTCTAAGTGAAAGAACCCAACATTAAAAAGCTATGTACTGTATAATTCAAAGTGTATGATTTTCTGTAAAAGACAAAACTATGGCAACAGTAAAAGCATCAGTGGCTGCCAGGAATCCAGAGGAGGGAAGGAAGAATAGGTGGCCAGCAGAGATTTTTAGGACAATGAAACTATTCTGTAATGATACTAGAGTAATGATAGATACATGTCATTATACATTTCTCAAGATCCATAGGCTATTAAACACAAAGTGTGAACTTAATGTAAACTTGGACTTTAGGTATAGGGAATATTAATGTATTGATACAGGCCCATCAATTGTAATGAACATATCATTAACCCGAGATGTTAATAATAAAAGAAACCAGGATGGGGTGAGGGGCATATGGGAATTCTGCACTTTACATTCAATGTTTTCGTAAAACTAAAACTGTTCAAAAGAATAAAGTAAAATTCTCCACTACTCACCTTGAGGAAAAGGCAGAAAAGAAAACCCCACAACATTCCAAAAGAATGGCCGTCTGAGTGTTGGCAAGAATCTTATGTAACTAAAATATTCATATTGCTGGTAAAGAACGTCACATGGTACAACCACTTTAGAAAATATTTTGTCAATTTCTACTCAGATCAGGAACAAGAGAAGGATGCCTGCTTTCATCACTCCTTTTCAACATAGTATTGGAAGTCCTAGCCATAGCAATCAGACAAGAAAAAGAAATAATAGGCATCCAAATTGGAAAGGAGGAAGCAAAACTGTCGTTGTTTGCAGGCAACATGATAGTGTACACAGAAAATCCTATAGACCCCACACAAAAAAAGACTGGACCTAATAAGTGAGTTTACAAACAAGTGGTATACAAAGTCAACAGTCAGAAATCAAAGGCGTTTTTGTACACCAACAATGAAATATCAGAAACACAAATCAGGAAAAAAATCTCATTTGATATACCAACAAGAAAAATAAAGTACCTAGGAATAAACCAAACCAAGGAGGTAAAAGACCTATACTCAGAAAACTACACAACACTGAAGAAAGAAATTAAGGAACACACAAACAAATGGAAGCATGTACCATGTTCATGGACTGGAAGAATTAACATCATGAAAATATCCATAATACCCAAAGCAATTTATAGATTCAATGCAATCCCTATTAAAGTAACAATGACATATTTCACAGATATAGAACAAACATTTCAGAAATGTTTATGGAACCATAAACGACTCCAAATAGCTGCAGCAATTTTGAGAAAGAGCAACAAAGTAGGAGGGATCACAATACCTCGTATCGAACTGTATTACAAAGCCACTGTAATCAAAACAGCCTGGTACTGGCATAAGAACAGACACATAGACCAATGGAACAGAACAGAGAGTCCAGAAATAAACCCAAGTCTCGATGGTCAATTCATATTTGACAAAGGGGGCAGAAGCATAAAATGGAGTAAAAATAGCCTCTTCAACAAAGGGTTTTGGGAAATCTGGACAGCTACATGCAAAAAAATTAAAATTAAACTCGATTACCAACTTACACCATACACAAAAATAGACTCAAGGTAGATAAAAGACTTAAATATAAGATGTGACAACATAAAATTCCTAGAGAAAAACATAGGAAGGAAAATCTCAGATATTCCATGCAGCAATATTTTCACTGATATGCCCCCTAGAGCAAGGGACATAAAGGAAAGAATAAACATATGGGATCTCATCAAATTAAAAAGCTTCTGCATGGCTAAAGAAAACAGCAGTAAAATTAAAAGAGAAACAACTGTATGGGAAAACGTATTTGCCAATGATACCTAGGGCAAGGGTTTGATCTCCAAAATATACAAAGAACTCACATGACTCCACTCTGAGAAGACAAACAACTCAATTAAAAAATGGGCAAAAGACCTGAACAAACACTTCTCCAACGAAGACATACAGAGGGCCCAGAAACATATGAAAAGATGTTCAGCATCGTTAGCTGTCAGAGAACCTCAAATTAAAACTACAAGGAGATACCACTTCACACCTGTCAGAATGGCCATCATAAACAAATCAACAAACAACAAGTGCTAGAGAGGTTGTGGAGAAAAGGGAACCCTGGTGCACTGTTGGTAGGACTGGAGACTGGTGCAGCCTCTGTGGAAAACAGCATGGAATTTTCTCAGAAAACAAAAAATGGAACTGCCTTTTGACCCAGCAATTCCACTGCTGGGATTATATCCTAAGAACCCTGAAACACCAATTCAAAACCTATGCACCTCAATGTTCATAGCAGCACAATTTACAATAGCCAAGTGCTTGAAGCAACCTAAGTGCCCATCAGTAAATGAATGGATCAAAAAACTCTGGTACATTTACACGATGGAATACTACACAGTAGAAAGAAAGAGCGAGCTTCTATCCTTTGCAACAGCATGGATGGAACTGGAGAGCATTATGCTAAGTGAAATAAGGCAAGAGGTAAAAGACAAATACCATATGATCTCATCTTTAAGTAGAACCTAATCAATAAAACAAACAAGCAAAATATAACCAGAGACAATGAAATAAAGAATAATCTGACAGTAACAAGAGGGGAGGTGGGAGGAGATAATTGGGGGGGGAAGGGGGAATGAATTTCAGGAACAATTATAAAGGACACATGGACAAAACCAAGGAGGATAGTATCAGGGGAAGGAGGTGGGGACAGCTGAGGTGGGGGTGGAGTGATGGGGGGAAATGCAGACAACTGTACTTGAACAAAAAGAAAATATTTTGCCAATTTCTTCTGACCACCCATTCCACTCCTAGGTATTTACTCAAGAAAAATAAATGCATCTGTCCATACAAATACTTGTACACAAATATGCATAGCAGCTTTTTATGTAATAGTCACAAATTAGAAATTTGAATGTTGCCCTGGCTGGCGTAGCTCAGTGGATTGAGCGCAGGCTGCGAACCAAAGTGTCACAGGTTCGATTCCCAGTCAGGGCACATACCTGGGTTGCAGGTCATGGCCCCCAGCCCCCCAGCAACCGCACATTGATGTTTCTCTCTCTCTCTCTCTTTCTCCCTTCCTTCCCTCTCTAAAAATAAATAAATAAAATATTTTAAAAAATAAAAGAAACTTGAATGTTCATCAGCAGGTGAATATTCACTTGCAATGACAAAAAGCAGATCACTGGTTGCCTAGGCACAATGGATAGAGGCAAGATAATGATAGGATTACAAAGAACAGGAAGAACCTATATGAGATAATGAATATGTTTACTATCTCGATAAAGGGATTATTTCACAGATATATACATGTCAAAATTTCCCAAATCATACTTTAAATGTACAGTTCATGTCAATTATCTCCATCTAGCTACATAATTTTTGCACGTATGTAGGACAAACCATATATCCCAATTTGCAGATGAATAACTAAAACTAGATTACAAATTTCTTAAAAGCTTATTTTACTGATTCCATTTGACAGTCTTAAGATTTTCAATAATTGAATAGTTATTGAAAGTGAATTTTAAAAATTAAAGTTGTAAGGAAAAAGAAAACCAATGCGAATACTCCCATTCAAAAACCTATTTTATATACTCTATTACCAAACAATAAAAAAAGTATTAAAACTTCCATAAAGCCCTGTGCAGGTGACTTAGTTGGTTGGTGCTTCATCCTGTACACCAAAAGGTTGCAGGTTTGATTCCCAGTCAGACCACACACCTAGGTGGCAGGTCCCTAGGACCTGAGGCCCTTTGATCCCACTGGGATCCACACTGGAAGCAACCAATGGATGTTTCTCTCTCACATCAGCGTTTCTGTTTCTCTCTCTCTCTCCCCCCCCATCCATCCCTCCCTCCCTCCCTCCCTCCTTCCCCCCTTTCCTGTCTCCCTTCCTTCCCTCCTTCCTCTTTCTCTAAAATCAATAAACATATCCTTAGGTGAGGCTTAAACAAATTTTTAAACCATCCATATAGTCT